TGGCAGGTTGGACAGTCTGATTTCCAGTGGGGTCCCGCTCAGAGGGGACACAGCTTGGGAGGAATCCCGGGCTGCGAGCATTCCTTGGCCCAGTGGCCAGCTTTCCGGCACTTGTAGCAAGCTGCTGGGGGAGAAGGTTCTGGAGGAACCCGTGGCAGCTGAGCCCCAGGCGTTTGGAGTTGTGTGCTGGAGATGTGGCTGGGGTTTGTCTCACAGTGGAGGCAAGGAATTGCAACTCAGAAATAAGCTGCTACTTGGCTGCCTCTACTCTATTATTGTACACCTTCAAGGCGAGGTTCATTATGTCCTGTTGTGGGGTTTGAGGGCCGGAATTTAATTTGGGGGGTTTCTTTAATGTCGGGAGCAGATTGAGTAATAAAATAAAATGCATATTAAGAATAAGACGGCCTTCTGACCTTTCAGGGTCTAGGGCTGAAAAGCATCTCAGGGTTGCTGCTAAACAGGCCATGAACTGGGCTGGGTTTTTCTTTTTTTTTTTTTTTTTTGAGACGGAGTCTCGCTCTGTCGCCCAGGCTGGAGTGCAGTGGCCGGATCTCAGCTCACTGCAAGCTCCGCCTCCCGGGTTCACGCCATTCTGCTGCCTCAGCCTCCCGAGTAGCTGGGACTACAGGTGCCCGCCACCTCGCCCGGCTAGTTTTTTGTATTTTTTTAGTAGAGACGGGATTTCACCGGGTTAGCCAGGATGGTCTCGATCTCCTGACCTCGTGATCCGCCCGTCTCGGCCTCCCAAAGTGCTGGGATTACAGGCTTGAGCCACCGCTCCCAGCCGGGCTGGGTTTTTCATATTTGATGAAAAAGAATCTAAAAGCTAAATGATTTGGGAGAGGTCGGATAAAGAAAAAGGAACATTAACCTTGACTATGCCTTTAGCTCTAGCCACTTTTTAAGAGGAAATTTCTGGGCAGGTGTGGGAGGGCTAGTCCAGGAATGAAACTGTAAGCCAGACCGGGTGTGAGGAGGCGAGGTGGTAGAAGGATTACAGAGTGGGGGAGCAGAGACTGAGGAAAAATTGGCGAGGAGGGGAAAGGTCAGATGGGTCTGTAGAAAGGAAAATTAGAAAGACTCAGCGCCGCTTGGGGTTGGGACTGAGGGGACAGGTGGGAGGGGAAGAAGGAAGATTTGGGACGAGTAGCATTGGGAATAGAGACTAGGGAGGGACCGATATGTAAAAGAATGCCTGGATGTCAGGTACCTCAGACCAGTTGCCCATTTTACGACAAGAATTATTTAGATCTGGTAGGATGGAAAAGTTGAAAGTGCCGTTTTCTGGCTATTGGGAACTACTGCTGAGTTTGTATTGGGGTCAAGCGGCATTGTAGAAGAAAATAAGGCATTTAGGTTTTAGATCTGGTGTGAGTTGAAGAGGTTTTAAGTTCTTGACAACACAGGCTAAGGGAGAAGAAGGAAGAATGGAGGGTGGAAGGTTGCCCATGGTGAATGAAGGAAGGAAGCCCAGAGAAGAGAGAGTAGAGACACAGAAAGAGTTGGTGGGTTTTTGCCCTCCAGAAAAGAAAGGGGTTGGGGAGCAGAAATAAGGTATTGGGGTGCAAAAATAAGAGGGGGCACAAAAGTAGGAGGTCGGGTCACAAAAATAAGGTCGGGGTGCAAAAATAAGAGGTCGGGGTCCTTGCCCCTCCCTGAGAAAAGCAGAGAAGGGGTAGAGAGGGAGGGTAGGGGTTGGGGTGATTGCCCTTCCCCCAGAAAAGCGGGACTTGCCGCTTAGGATGAAGGACCAAGGCAGGTGTCCCCGCAGTGTGGTCAGACACCCCTGAAACGTGGGTGAGTAATCAGAGAGGCGTCCCTGCAATGATTAAACACCAAGGGAAGGCTGCCTTCCCCAGTCCGTGACCGGCGCCGGCGTTTTGGGTTCCACGGATAAAACCTGTCTCCTTTGTCTCTACCAGAAAATGAAAGGAATTGAAATTAAGAGAAGGGAGAGATTGAAGGGTGGCGCCAAGACTGAAAGGAGAAAGAGGTTGGGGGATAGTGAGAGAGGTTGGAGAAGAAAGTAAAAAGAGGCCTCTTACCCGATTTAAAATTGGTGAGATGTTCCTTGGGCTGGTTGGTCTGAGGACCAGAGGTCATAGGTGGATCTTTCTCACGGAGCAAAGAGCAGGAGGACAGGGGACTGATCTCCCAAGCAGGTCCCTGATCCGAGTCATGGCACCAAAATGTCATATGCATCCTTGTGAAGAGTCCACCAAACAGGCTTTGGGTGAGCAACATGGCTGTTTATTTCACCTGGGTGCAGGCGGGCTGAGTCCGAAAAGAGAGTCAGAGATGGGAGATAAGGGTGGGGCTGTTTTATAGGATTTGGGTAGGTAAAGGAAAATTACAGTCAAAGGGGGGTTGTTCTCTGGCAGGCAGGAGTGGGGGTCACAAGGTGCTCAGTGGGGGAGCTTTTTGAGCCAGGATGAGCCAGGAAAGGGAATTTCACAAGATAATGTCATCACTTAAGGCGAGGCAGGGCATTTGCATTTCTTTTGTGATTCTTCAGTTACTTCAGGCCATCTGGGCGTATTAAGTACAAGTCACTGGGGATGTGATGGCTTGGCTTGGGCTCAAGGCCTGACATCCTCCCCCACTCTTTTTCTTTTGAAGAGTTGGGGGTTTCACTCTGTTGCCCAGGTTGTATAGTCTAGTGGTGTGATCATAACCTTAACTCCTGCTCAAGTGATTCTCCTGCCTCAGCCTCCCAAGTAGCTAGGGCTACATGTGTATGCCATTAGGCCTGGCTACTGTTCAAATATTGGCTCAAATGATCCGCTTCAGTCTCCCAAAGTTCTGGGATTACAGGTGTGAGCCACTGCACTTGACATGACCTCTCTGGATAGAGTGGACACTTGCTACCATCAGACCAGCAATGAAAAGCTGTCAACTCTTTGTCATTCAGATCAGCTTTGATTAAAAGAATTATTACCAGCCAGGACAGTGACTCTTGACTGTAATTTTAGCACTTTCAGAGGCCAAGGTGGGAAGACTGCTTGAGTCCAGGAGTTAGAGACCAAGCTGGGCAACAGAGTGAGTGAGAGACCCTGTCTCCACAAAAATAAATAAATAATTTAAAAGAATTATTTCCAAATAATTTGGGAATACCGTATTACTCTGTCTCTTGCACAGCATTTGACATGACCCACAGAGCTAGGCTTTGGTAGTCATCAACAGTTAAATTCACGTTAAAGACGAAGACACCTCCTGTTCATTGACTGTTTACTATGTGGAGGTTTTATACTACGTTTCCATATATATTCTTTCTTTTCATGTAATCTTCTTGACAGTCCTATGAACGTCTCATTATCCACCTCTGTTTTGCAGATGAGAAGACTGGTTTCAGAAAAGTTGAGTGCTGAAGACTACAAAGCTGTTTGTAAGTTATCAAGCTAGGATTTGATGCCAGGTCTGCCTGACTCCAAATCCTGGGCTCTTAACCATGACACAGCCGTGCTGTCTTCACTCCTGTGACGGCATAAAGAATTGTGTCAGAATGGGTGACCTGGCGTGAAAAGCCCTGTGCCGCAACTGCAGGTCTCATTTCTCTCTACAGCCCCATCTGAAGATGCAACGAAGATAGGAACCACTGATAAGGCAGAACTTCTTGTCTGGCAGAGTAGAAGCTGGAAGCTCCTCCCCACTAGCCTTTCCACCTTGTAAGGGATTTGGACCCTTCAAGCTTAGTGGGCAGTCTTGAGAATTACATGGGCTACAGGTGAAAACTTACATATTAGAACCTTAATTGAACAACCAGTTAAGACTTGAGTGTGGTAAAAGATTTGTTATTTATTCAGTCAACAAACCATGTGGCACTACATACTATATTAAAATAAAAACATAAGAACAAAATACAGGCACAAAAAAGGCTATTGTGACTATCCTTAAAGAAACACATTTTAGGAGGAATGATGAGCCTTTTGGATACGCTTTCAAGCCAAAGAGCTCTCCTAAATGAAAAGGAAGATCGGGGCCTTGTCTGGCATCTTAAGTAGTTGTGTGATCTTGGAAGTCTCCGGCTTTAGCTTCCTTACCCGCAATGAAAATTAAAAATTGAAAAAAAGAAGCAAAACCAAAATCTTGATTTAGAGAAGTAGACTCTTTTTGAAGTAGAAAGCCAAACAAATTTTGAAGGGCCAAATTTTTGTGAACTATTGTCTTTAACTCGCGGTCTTTGTTTCAGTTGTAACGGTTATAAATGGCACTTCATTTGATTTCTTTAAACATTTTACTTGGCCGTGCTGTTTAATCAGACACAGAAGCCAGGTATGTAGAACTGCGGTAACTCACGGTGCTGTAACTTCCTAGATGAAAGGGCCGTGGCAGTTAAAACAAAACAAAACAAATTTAATTCTGCACTGTCAGTATTCAAACTAGTTTCCGAATCTAATGGACACACTCTGCCAAACCACCGATCAGCCATTTGAGGAGAGATGCGCGATGCCTATTTTGGAGTGAATTCTCACAGGGTTATCTTCGTCTTATGAAATGGTGTAGTGGACTGCCCTTTTTCTCCTTCACTAAGTCACACTCAGCCAAAGCGGAAAACAAAGAAAAACCAAACCAAACAAACAAAAAATGACAAAATAGACCATACGCAGATAGAAAAAAAACAAAAGCCCAAAACACCTCCTAAAGCGTCGGTCGGGCTCTAGGTTAGCTTTGAGCCTCTGTGCTCCCTGCTTTGCTGGAAACAGGGAGATCCATCGCTCCCTTAGGCGCTCCCTTTAGTTTTCTTTTTTTTTTTTTTTTTAAAACGGAGTCTCGCTGTGTCGCCCAGGCTGGAGTGCAGTGGCTGGATCTCAGCTCACTGCAAGCTCCGCCTCCCGGGTTCACGCCATTCTCCTGCCTCAGCCTCCCGAGTAGCTGGGACCACAGGCGCCGCCACCTCGCCCGGCTAGTTTTTTGTATTTTTTAGTAGAGAAGGGGTTTCACCGTGTTAGCCAGGATGGTCTCGATCTCCTGACCGCGTGATCCGCCCGTCTCGGCCTCCCAAAGTGCTGGGATTACAGGCGTGAGCCACCGCGCCCGGCCACTCCCTTTAGTTTTCTAAGTGTCGGCGCCCGGAGCGACGTCCACCACGGAAGGTCTTTCCCGGAAACGATTTTCCGTCCCGCCTCGCCGCCCGCCTACGCCACCACTGGCCCGCTGCTAGTCGGAAGCCGGCGCGCCGTACGTCCCCCGCCGGGCAACTCCCACCGCTGTGGCGTCACTGGGGGTTGTAGTTTCCCTGGGCTCAGCGGTGCCTGCGCTTTAGTGCAGAGACGCGGGTGAGAGCCTCACTTCCCACAGGCCTTCGGCACGGGGGCGGGGCCCCGACGGAGGCGGTGATTGTGGCGGCTCTTTTGTAAATGCTGCGGAGATTCAGGCGTCGGTTCCTGCTACTGAGCGGCCCGGCCTTCACGGAGCGGTAATTTGTGGGCGAAAGGAGCGGAGGAGCTCTTTGTCCGTGGCCCCGCGCCGGAGAAGGACGGCGGTGGGCTGGCAGGGCTCCGCTCGGCCCTCGGGGTTGGCTCGGCGGGGCGCTGGGGCGCACTGCGGTTCCCGGCAGTTCAGTGGCTTCGCCCGTTCGCGGTGCTTTGTTCGCAGAGCCGGGGAAGCCGGCCTCTCTGGGGTATCTGTCTGTCGGTCTGGCCTGGCTGTGGCAGGACTTGAGTTCCTGTGGGCAGCGCGGCCGCCGCAGTCCCGTGGAGCAGGGCGGTGAAGTGGCATTGCTGGCTGTCCTCAGGGCCGGTCCGGCCCGGCTTTGTCGAGGGCTTCTCTCTTGAAGCTTCGTGTGGATTCGTGGCTTTCGAGGACGTGTTGTATTTTAGGGGACTGCTAAATCACTTCCCAAACCAACTAGCCAACTTTTCACGGTCTAAGAGTGGCTTTGAATTTGCTGTTTGTATCCACTCTCCTCCCTCACCGTGCAGAGAATTTATCATCTTTTCATATGGCTTTAAAGAATGTTTACATAGTGCTCTCTGGAGGTTTCAAGGCTAATTTGTTACGTTTTTAAAAAGTTTTATTTAGGTATAATTGCTATACAAGAAAAATGGCACATGTTTAAATGCATTCCATTTGATGAGTTTGGCATACACGTGCACCCGTGTCCTTTAGGTTTTGATATCTGTGAAGTCTGAATCCACATACTAATCCTATCTCGGCATATTTATCATCAATGCTCCGTTTACCAAGACCTCAGTAATAGCAGGTTCTGGTTAAACTGTTTTTATACTTCATGCTGACATTAAATATGTTTTTAGGATCACGGTCATTAAATTGAAGTGGAGGTATAGAGGGTGTTTTTGGTAGGAGTTGGAGGGGGAGATGCAGATGTCTGGGTGCTGTGTCTCAAGACTCCTTGCACTTGTCAGTCTAGTAGGGAATTTTTCTAGTTTTCCGTATTATGAAATGACCTTGTAGTTTGTCTCCCTTCTGAATTTGGCTTTCAAAAGATTTTCTGCTAAGTCATTGAAATTAAGCAAAGTTACGTGGTTGATTTTGAAGAAAAAAAAGTCATTTTTTTTTTTAGATTGGCGTCCTACTGAAAAACAATCAATTTGCTTAGAAAAAGTTCTTACAAATTATTCAGGAATAACAGATATCCAGTAAAGTGCGCTAATCTTAAGTGTACAGTCCAAATGTGTCCACCCCCTGTATTAACCTTCCCAGTTGTTGAAGTCAAAATAAAAATTTGGAGATGAATCTCTGAATTTACCATTTTATTTGGGAAGAAAGAATGGCAGTTCCAGGCGTACAGACCAGGTGGTCTTCTGTATGTCCAAAGAACAAAGAGAAAGCTGCAGGTTTTATAAAAAAAAGAGAATTGTTATATGTGTCGCTCTTTGAGAAAGTTCATTGGTTCTCCTAAGGTTCTGGGGAGGCAGCAGTTCCTACCGAGTGGGCCATGGTGACGGGCAAAATTCATCCGAGAATTGCAACAAGTTACCTCAGCATCTGTGGATCAAACTGGTCTCAGGTTACCACCGGCAGTTTCGGCATACCGACTTGCAGAGAATTCCATTCTTGGAGCAAACTTATGTGTCCTGAGTGCCTTTCCCTCTTGACTTCTTGATTGTTTAGTTGGATATGACAAGAGTGACCCAATTTGTATGATCAGCTTTCACACAGTCAGGACAGCCTCCATTTTCCTGGATAACGACCAGTATGCCCTTTATAACTATGAGTTTATTTTGCCTGTTCTTCAGCTTCATATACTTGGAAACATGGGCCAGGCGCAGTGGCTCATGCCTGTAATCCCAGCAAATTGGGCAGCCCAGCTAGGTGGATCACTTGAGGTCAGGAGTTTGAGAAGCACCTAACATGGTAAAACCCCATCTCTACTAAAATATATATATATATATATATATATATATATATATATGTATAGCCAGGTATGGTGGTGCGTGCCTGTAGTCCCAGCTACTCTGGAGGCTGAGGAGCGTGAATCGCTTGAACCCGGGAGGCTGAGGTTGCAGTGAGCCAAGATCACACCACTGCACTCCAACCTGGGTGACAGAGTGAGACTCCATCTCAAAAAAGCAAGGAAACATGCATTTGTCTGATGTTTACACATGATTATTTATTTTTGTTACTGCCTGTGGCAGCAATTTTTGTTTTTGTTTTTATAAATGCCTGAATAGCTGTGGTTCTCAAAGTGTGATACTGTGAAAAAATGTACATCACATTGGCATTTTTGTTTTTGGTTATCAAATGGTTGGCAGGCAATCATCTTGTTCCAAGAAAATCTTCAGTTGCAATTAATGGTACAGTAAGCCTTTATACAACTCATTTACAACTCAACCAGGGAGCAATGGTGAAAACACAGCATCATTATGTTCACTGTCTTCTGTTTCTTTTAACAGTTCTGTAAACTGGCAGTTGATAGCATTTGTACATACTGAACAATTTTAACAATTATATTCATGATACTGTTCATAGATTATGCTTCAGAAAACTGAACACAAGAATTTTCAATGTGTATTATACAGGGGAATGAATCAGTGAGGGAAATAGCAGTCTCTTGTTGTAAAATCCCATTAAATTCAGATTTTTTGCCTTATAAAATGACACCATCTGTCAAGATAGAAACTGATTTTTAGGCTGGGCACAGTGACTCACACCTGTAATACCAGCAGTTTGGGAGGCCGAAGCAGGAGGATGACTTGAGCCTGGGAGTTCAAGATCAGACTGGGCAACATAGGGGCACCCTATTACTACAAAAAAAAAAAAAAAATTAGGTGGGCATGCTGACACACACCTGTAGTCCCAGCTGCTCTGGAGGCTGAGATGGAAGGATCACCTAAGCACGGGAGGTTGAAGCTGCAGTGAGCCGTGATTGTGCCACTGCATTTCAGCCTGGGCAACATTGTGAGACCCTGTCTCAGGAAAAAAAAAAAACAAAAAACTAATGTTTTCATATCTAGCTGAAATTCTTCTGTCAGACATAAAATACTAGGGCACAGGGGCTCACGCCTGTAATCCCAGCAGTTTGGGAAGCCAAGGTGGGAGAATGACTTGAACCCGGGAGTTCGAGACCAGCATGGGCAACATATGGGGACCACTCTTTACAAAAAAGTGGAAGATTAGCTGGGTGTGGTGGCATATGCCTGTGGTCCCAGCTACTCCGGAGGCTTGAGGTGGGAGGATCACTGGGGCCTGGGTGGTAGAGGCTGCACTGAGCCATGATCATGCCACTGCACTCCAGCCTGGGTGACAGAGACCCTATCTCAAAAAAAAAAAAAAAAAAAAAAAAAGTTAAAAAACATCCATGCCACGGTTCAGTTTTAAGGCTTTGAATTGATATCATCTCTTTGTAAATTCAGGTAATCTTTGGGATAAAACACACCTCAATTGGTGATTGGTCAGTCTCTCATTGCATTACTCAGATAAAGCTAAAGACAAGTGCTTGTAATTTTTTACAGCTTTGAACCTGGATACTAGTAGAAGAGTCTGTGGACAATTGGTTGGTCACTTAGTTGAAAATTTTTCACTTTTTGGAAAACATCTATAACCTTTTAATTAAAATATCTTTTTAAATCGCACAATAACCTAACAATTTCCTCAACTCAGATAACCTGTTTACCTTCTCTTCATCTGAAAATAATTTTCTTTTTTCTTTTCATTTCTCTCTTTCTCTCTCCTCAGCCTCTTTCTTTCCAGGCGTTTTTATAACTGGCCAAAGCTAAAGCTCAGATTCTGTTCAAAATCATAAAACATTTTTTTGTTGGATATTTAGTCCTGATACAGGTGACTAATTACAGTTGACTCTCGAACAACGTGAGTTTCAACTTTGTGGGTTCGCTTATGCCTGGATTTTCTTCCACTTCTGTCACCCTTGAGACAGCAAAACCAGCCGTTTCTCCTCCTCAGCCTAGTCCAGTGTGAGGGCTAGTGACACGAAGACCTTTGCTATTAAGTGGAAGTGGATCATCATAAAGGTCTCCCTGCGTATCTTTTATTTATATGTTTATGTTTTTTAGACACCAAGTATGAAGTCAACACCTTTATGATGATTCATTTCCACTTAACCAATAAATATGTATTTTTTATTATTTTCTTATCATTTTTTCTCCAGCTTACACTGTTGTAAAAATACCGTATGTAATATACATAACATGCAAAATATGTGTTACCTGTTGTCGATAAGGCCTCCAGTCAACAGTAGGCTGTTGGCGGTTAAGTTTTGGAGAAGTCAGAGTTACACTTAGAACTCCCCTCGCAACTGAAAATCTAAGTGTACCTTTGTTTTAAATTTTAAAAATTGTTCATACTTATTTTTCAAACTAGAAAAATAATTATGCTGGCCAGGCGCGGTGGCTCACGCCTGTAATCCCAGCACTTTGGGAGGCCGAGACGGGCGGATCATGGGGTCAGGAGATCGAGACCATCCTGGCTAACACGGTGAAACCCCGTCTCTACTAAAAATACAAAAACTAGCCAGGCATGTGGTGGGCGCCTGTAGTCCCATCTACTCGGGAGGCTGAGGCAGGAGAATGGTGTGAACCCAGGAGGCAGAGCTTGCAGTGAGCTGAGATTGCGCCACTGCACTCCAGCCTGGGCGACAGAGCGAGACTCCGTCTCAAAAAAAAAAAGAAAAAAAAAAAAGAAAAATAATTATGCTATAATTAAAATACTAAATATTTCAACTTAATTACTGCTATGACTTGAATGTCCGCCCCAAAACTCATGTTGGAATGTTAATTGCCAATGCAACAGTGTTCAGAGGTGGGAAATGTAAAAGGTGATTAGGTCATGAGGGCTCCACCCTAATGAGTGGATTAATGCTGTTATCTCAGAAGTAGGTTACTGATTTCAGGGGTGGCTTTGTTATAAAAGACAGCCTCTCCCTCACAGGCTGTTTTTTTGCCTTTCTACTCTTCCCCCATGGGGATAACCCTTGCCAGTTGCCAATGCCATGCTCTTGTTCTTCCCAGCCCCAGAACTGTGAGAAATAAATTTCTTTATATATTACCTAGTCTCTTCTCTGGTATTCTGTTACAGCAGCAGACAATGGACCAAGATAATTACCAATTACAATTTAAACAGATCACCGTAACTTGTACTGTTTTCAGAAACTATTCAAATAAACACTGAACAGTGTTATGGCCATGTGTTGAGAACAAATTATTCAAACAGAATCAGTTCATTGACACTGATGAGATTGCAGACATGCTTCCTGGCAGTCTGGGGGGTGTGCGCACTGACACGGGCTTCAGTACAGCAGCGTCTTATAGCATGCAGTGGCTACAGTGACAGGTAGTCCTACCAAGAGAATAAAGTGTTCAAGAGAAAAATATTTTGTACTTACTCACTTTTAAATTTAATTAACTTTAATTAAAATGGAAAATTCAGTTCTTCAGTCACATTAGCCACATTTCAAGTGCTCAGTAGCCACATGTGACTAATGGCTACTGTATTAGATGCATAGGTCCATGTAATTGTATGTTTTTGTCTTTATTTCTTACAATAGGCACTGCTGTGCACTTTGTAACTAGCAACATATCTTGGATATAGTTACTACTTCTGTATCAGTAAAGAGCTTGTTCTTTTTAACAGTTGTGTAATATGATTACCACGATTAGCTGATCTCCTGTTAATGGACGTTTACTTTCAGTTTATTGCAAATATGAGTTTATGCCAGTATAACTGTGGGACAAAATGCCTAGATGTGAAGTTGCTGAGTCAGAGTTCCTCTGCATTTACAGTTGGCTAGATATTGTCATATTGTCCTTCAAAATGTTGTCCCAGTTCATTCGCTCAGTGAGTGCTTCATGAAGGAGTTTCTTCAAGATGAATGATGAGAAACAAAAGCCAAAAAGAGTTTCTGTTTCTCATACTGGTATTACCAGTTTTCAGTCTTTGCCAACCGAGGGTGGGAAAAAATGGTAATGTTGTTACTGTTTTCATTTCCATTTCTTCAGTGGAGTGACAATGCGCACATTTTAATGTTTCAGCATCGGTATTTTTCTGTTTATACTTTTCGTATGTTTCTGTTTTTTAGACACCAAGTATGAAATGACATACATGTTTGCCTCCACATTGCCCTTTTTCGTTTTCCTTTATATTTATGTATGTGTGTGTGTATATATATATTTACATATATATTGTTGTATTATATTGTATCTATAAAGTCTAGAATTGTGTCTGGGAGTAGTGTGAGATATCATTCCACTTTGGTACTAGACTCTTCCCATCTCCTCCAGAACATGACTGTAGCAACTCTCCCCTTTCTCCATCCTCATCAGCCTACGAACATGCTTTGATTTCTCCTAGTGTAAAAAATACTCCTCTTCACCTTACTTTTCTATGTATTTCCTTCTTTTTATAGCAGAACTCCTGGTGTTATCTGTCTACTGTCTTCAATTTCTTATTCTGTCATGCATCCTCTCCACTCAAGCTTTTGCTCTCCCTGCCCCCCCGCTGCTCTCACTGAAGTTCTCATGACCTTTGCTTTGCCAAATTCAGAGTTCAGTTCTCAGTTCTCCTTACCCTTCATCTGTTCACAGCATTTAGCATAGCTCTTTCCTCCTCGAAACAGTTTCATCACTTAACCTCAGGGACGCTACACTTTTTGCTTCTTATCTGTTTTTTTGTTTTTTTTGTTTTTTGTTTTTTTTTGAGATGGAGTCTTGCACTTGTCACCCAGGCTGCAGTGCAATAGCGCAATCTCGGCTTACTGCAACCTCCGCCTCCTGGGTTCAAGCAATCCTCCTGTCTCAGCTACCTGAGTAGCTGGGGTTAGAGGCTCCCGTCACCACACCTAGCTAATTTTTTGTATTTTTAGTAGAGATGGGGTTTCACCATGTTGGCCAGGCTGGTCTCGAACTCCTGACCTTAGGTGATCCACCGGCCTCAGCTTCCCAAAGTGCTGGGATTACAGGCGTGAGCCACTGCACCTGGCTGCCTCCTTTCTTTTTGACTACGCTCAATCCCTCAGTGTTCTCATCCAGTGTCAAGGCTTTAAATACCATCTTTATGCTGAGGATGTCCACATTTGTGCTTCACAGCCTTGGCCTCTTCGGTGAGTTGCATTCTGGTGCATCCGCCTGCTGCTGACATGGTGTCTCTACTTGCATGTCTCATAGGCATCTTAAAATGTCCTAAATTCAACTCTTGGTCTCTGATTGCCCCATACCTGTTTCGTCCTTCATCTTCCCCCTTTCAGTAAATGGCAAATCTGTTCTTCAGGTGCTCAGCCAGGAAATTTTAAGAAATGAGGGAGAAGATGCCATTGATCTCTGGAGGTTGGTAGACAATAAAGGAGGGGTAGTAGATTGTGTAGTTTGGTCATATGAGAGTCAGAATTGCTTGTTATTAATTTATTATTTTTTTGAGATAGAGTCTCACTCTGTTGCCTAGGCTGGAGTGCAGTGGTGTGACCTTGGTTCACTGCAGCCTTTGCCTCCCAGGTTCAAGCGATTCTCCCGCCTCAGCCTCCTGAGTAGCTGGGATTACAGGCGTGCACCCTGACACCCGGCTAATTTTTTTGTATTTTTGTTAGAAACGGGGTTTCACCATGTTGGCCAGGCTGGTCTCACACTCCTAACTTCATGTGATTCGGCTGCCTTGGCCTCCCAAAATGGTGGGATTACAGGCGTGAGCCACCACGCCCAGCCTGTCTATTTTTTTGAGACAGGATTTTGCTCTGTTGCCCAGGTTGGAGTGCTACTTACAGCAGCCTCGACCTCCTGGGCTCAGGCGATCCTGCCACCTCAGAACTCCCAAGTAAAATTGCTTTTTATGATCTAGAAAAGGAGTGTAGTCTGGAAGGAGAAGAGGAATAAGAATATATGTTTTGTCTCAAGGCTCAGTGGTACTGGAGTATGGGCTCCATAGAAACAACTGTTCTCAGGAAGGTGAGGGAGTGCTCAGACAAGAGGTTGAGGATAATGAGGATTTTGCTGATGATAGACTGTGGGTGTTTGGGGCTCGGATGTTTGGGAGATGGAGCAGAGGAAGGTGTGGGGATTAGTGTGTAAGAAGTGAAGCCTGGCTCTGGGTCTCAGGGCTTCCAGTGGTGAGTGATGTAATAGGTTTAAATAGGTAGATAATGGTGATGGGGGTTTCTGGAGGAATGGGGTATCAGCGGGAGTGTCCTGCAGATGAAAGTTAGGAAAGCTGGGGAGCTGGGTCTTACCTGCCCCTGATAGCTGTACAACTTGCACCTTCTCCTTCCCTTGGTCCTTAATTTTCCCTTCTAAATGAGGACCCTGTCCACCCTGTCTAAACTTACAACCTCCTTTTCCCACATGGCTTTTATTTTTCCCCTTTGCACTTATTTCTGTTTAACATACTGTATAGTGTGTGTGTGTGTGTGTGTCTTCCCCACTAGACTTTGATTTATGAACTGCTGTGTACCCAGGGGCAAAAACAATATCTGACACAGAGTAAGAACCTAGTAAATGTTAGTTGAGTAAAATCAGACACTCAGAGGCAAGGCTTGTCTTCTCCCTGATGTCCTGGTTAAGTGTATCTATCGCATGGTGACAAAGTTACACTAGCAATTTGGTTAATTTTAAAGTCTGATAACTCATACAGAGTTATAGCATGAGCCAATGTAATTTTTATTGGCTCATGCCATAAGAATTACGTTTCTCCTACCTGCCAGACATGGTGCTTGGCAGTAGTGAGTATATAGATACCTTCAAGGAACTTCACGGATTGGTAATAAACGTGAAAGCAAAACATCACTAATAAGTGCTAGAAGAGTGACGTCACTATTTTACCTCTAGGAATACAGATGAGGGGCTATCTGGTGGGTGAGGTGTTAGTACGGAGATGAGAGAGGAAGGGACAGGTATAACAGTGCCAGGTAAAGCCACAGGTGCTGGTGGTAACTTTTGTTCTAGAACTAGGGAGAAAACAGGTTCACCAATTGGGCAAAGAAACAATGTTAAACAAGGGCCAGAAGCAAGAAAGTGCTTAGTGTGGGTAATATCTGATAGCGGCTTTTTTTTTTTTTTCTTAAGCAAATAACTTAAGGTATTTTATCTTCCATAGTTTAGTTCAACTAATCTAGCCCTTGTATAAAATCATTAGTAATTGAATGTTTAGGTCAAAAAGGATCTTAGGTTTTTGATCTCAATTTGGTTATTTTTAAGACTTAAAAAAAATGTAGCTCAATGCCCAGTTACTTTGCTAGTTCAGGTCTTTTGTATATGAAATATTGAGGACATTTTTATGCTGGGTTGAGATTTGGGCTTATTTTGGGTAGGACATCTAATGGCTTTACCTAATACATTTTGTTGGCTATCTTTGTCTACAGATATTGGAAATCAGTCGCTCTTCTAGCCTTTGCATTGTTTAAATATAGTGTCATTGGACTAAGATGTTCCTGATGCCAACCTCTTCAGAGTTAAACAGTGGGCAGAACTTCCTAACCCAGTGGATGACCAATCCTTCTCGGGCCGGGGTCATATTAAATCGTGGATTTCCTGTTTTGGAAGCAGACAAAGAGAAGCAAGCAGCTGTGGACACTTCTACCAGCTTTCCTGTTAAAGGCACACATTGTTCTGATAGCTTCAGCTTTATAAATGAGGAAGATTCACTTCATGAAGAACAGAAGTTGGAGTCAAACAGCCCTTACAAACCACAGTCAGATAAATCTGAAACCCATACATTCTTTCCTCGCATTACAAAGGGACCACAGATAGTGGCCTGTCACGACGCTCCTGGACACCAGGAAGAGAACAAAAATGACGTCATCCCAGATCTTGCAAGTGAATTTAAAGAAGGGGCTTATAAAGACCCACTGTTTAAAAAACTTGAACAGGTACAATAGGATTTGGGCTACTGTGGATTTATGTCATTGCAGGTTTCTGTTTATGTAATAAAGTCATCTGTTCCAGGTCTTCTTGTTTTTTCCCCTTCACTCTGAAATCCTCAGAATACCAGATTTGGCCCTTTGTCTAATGTGAAACATTAAAGTGTGTTTAATATGTAAAATATAATTATAGCCCTCATGATAACTTTAAGTTGTTACCTCATTTGGCAAAACGTAAGAAATGGTTGTTCAAGTATTGGGGAAAAAATCGGATGATGTACTGAAGCCCATCCTATTTTTACAATCAAAGGATTTATATGACTGTTTTGGTCTCTTAGTTGAGATAGTTGTTGTGATTTCCTTCGTAAGGATTTGAGTTTTAGATTTTTGGTGGCTGATTTAGTTACCTAGGGATCCCTGTCTAAAACTTCTTACCAGGAAAGATAGGAGGAGGGAGATGGGAGGAATTAAGGGAACAAGGGGTCCACGAAGAAATGTAAAGTTGATTTAATAAAATTAATTTTGTATGAAAAAAGCTGAAAGAAGTACAACAGAAGAAGCAGGAACAATTGAAGAGGCAACAGTTGGAGCAACTACAGAGACTCATGGAAGAACAAGAGAAGCTGCTCACCATGGTGTCTGGGCAGTGCACACTTCCAGGTATGCTTTGCCTACACAGAGCCTCAGTACAATGCACATTTCTGATCTGTAGTTGTTTGACAGGTTATTTCTATTGTTCGCATATCACGTGTTGTAAACTCCAGTTTCTTTAAGGGCCAAGCAGATAAATGTGAAATGGTAGAGTTGTAATATAACTGGAACAATAAGGAGCTGCGGCATTCTGGTGTGTGCCTGCCCTACTTTAAGGCATTCATGTTTATTCATTAAAAAAAAAAAATGAGCTGGGTGTGGTGGTCCATGCCTGCAGTCCTAGCTACTCTGGAGACTGAGGTGGGAGGATTGCTTAAGCCCAGGAATTTGAGGCTGCAGCAGTGAGCTATAATGGCACCACTGCATTCCAGTTGGGGCAGCAGAGTGAGACCCTGTCCCCCCAAAAACGGTTCAATGTAAGAAAAGTCAGGTTTGGTCTAGAGCTACTACTGGTATCCAACCCCTGCCTGATGAATGAAAGCTGTTGGGTGTCGTAAAGGTAAACATATGTAGAAGCCACTCTGTTCACCTGAAGAACCACACCAAAGATATTTTCTAGGGTAGGAGATGACAGTATCCTGTTGTGTGACCTGTCAGTTAATGGAAAGCATCATGTGCCAATCAGGAAAGAAAACTGGAAATGTGACCTGGAGCAGTGGTTTGAAAGTGTCTTGACCACACTCTGTAGTGGTAAAAATGTTTAAAATGGTGACTCATAATGACAGCAATTTCATGTCATCAGTCCTTATTGGTGCTCCTGGCAGGTAGTGAGGACATTTTCTATCTTGTTTATTCTAATTCTATATCATTTTTAAAAATGCTACGTCTGATGACAGAATTATAGATTGTGTCCCACAGTTTGAAAAAAAACTGAGGTTGGAGCCATGTGTTTGCTTCTTGGTGCTACTTTTAAGAAATAGACTTTACTGACCCAGGAAAGCACCTGTTCTGCTCAGAGATTGTGCTGGGCATTGAGAATACAAGAAAAAGAAGACTTGGCAAGTGAGTGAGGCTGGGTGCAGGGGTCAGGTGGGGCGTGGTTGTGAGAATTGTAGCGCATGAACAGTGGTTTAGGGAATTTGGATGTTTATCTCAGAGAATATAGAAAACATTGCCTTAAAATAGTTGAATGGCTTAGGGTTTCTTTATGGAATACATACAAAGAATAATCAAGATCACGTAAATAACAGCTGTGATACTTTTAAAGGTAGAACCAGCACTATGACAGAATGACAGGAAAGCTGATTTCAAAGTTACTTACGTAAGAACTAGCCTCATTCAGTCATGGAGTGGTTTGCTTTGGGGCAGTGGTTTTCAAATATTTTGGTCTCGGGACCCCTTAGGATTCTTAAATTTTTGAGAGCCCCAAAGAACTTTTGTTATATGGGCTGTATTTATCAATAACTTACTGTATTGGAAATTAAAACAGGCTAGACATGGTGGCTCACGCCTGTAATCCCAGCACTTTGGGAGGCCAAGGTCAGCAGATCCCCTGAGGTCTGGAGTTCAAGACCAGCCTGGCCAACATGGTGAAACCCCCTCTATACTAAAAATATAAAAAATTAGCTGGGCGTGGTAGCACACGCCTGTAATCCCAGCTACTCAGAAGGCTGAGGCATGAGAATCACTTGAACCCAAGAGGTGGAGGTTGCAGTGAGCTGAGATCGCACCACTGCACTTCAGCCTGGGTCACAGAGCGAGACTGTCCCAATCAATCAATGGTTTTGTTCATCACCATTTCCTAATAAAGGGAAAAGATACTTTTATCACTGCAGAGAAGCCTTTGTAGGGTGGGGTCACTACTGGGGAGAAAAGAAAATGTTGAAGGAAGTCATCAGCTTTGTTGCTTTTCTTAATTGCAAGGTTTGAGTGTACTGCCTGATGATCAGAGCCAGAAGCACAGATCTCCAGGAAATGCCACCACTGGAGAGAAAGCCACACGCTGCTTCCCATCGTATGTCTACCCAGACCCAACCCAGGAAGAAACGTGCGCTTCCAACATTGTATCCCATGAGCAAAGCAACTTCTGTAGAACTGCTCATGGTGATTTTGTCTTAACTTCAAAACGTGCTTCTCCTAATTTATTTTCTGAGGCACAGTGTCAAGAAGCACCTGTGGAAAAAAGTAACTTAAAAGAAGAAAACCGTAACCATCCTACAGGTGAGCTACTTGTGTTTCCCTCTTCTGTACTTACAGTGTTACTAAGTTGTCCTAAGATCAAGCCTTTCCGTGTGTTTTCTTTAAAAATTATTTTTTCAAAGACGGAGTCTTGCCGTGTTGCTCAGGCTGGACTCAGACTCCTAGGCACAAGTAATCCTCCCTGGTCAGCCCCTGAGGTAGCTGGCACTATAGGCACATACTACCCTGATAGCTCTTTCTGCGTGGTTATTTTTTTCTTGTCCCCTGTGGCATGCTTTTTTTTTTTTTTGGATTCAGAGTCTTGCTCTGTCACTCAGGCTGGAGTGCAGTGGCACAATCTCGGCTCACTGCAACCTCTGCCTCTAGGGTTCAAGTGATTCTCGTGTCTCAGCCTCCCAAGTAGCTGGGATTACAAGTATGCACCACCATGCCCAGATAATTTTGTGTGTTTTTAGTAGAGAGGGGGTTTCACCGTGTTGGCCAGGCTAGTCTCAAACTCCTGGCCTCAAGTGATCTGCCTGCCTTGGCCTCCCAAAGTGCTGGGATTACAGATCTGAGCTACTGCACCCAGCCTTCATGCCTTGTTCTTAATTTACAGTTAATTCATCGGTGTGGAAAGCTCAAATATGTTTTTCTTCTTTTTTACACAACATGCTTCCCTAGCCTTTTGTTTTGGAAAATTTCAAACATCTAAAAAAGTTGAAAGACCACTGCAGTGATTACTGATATATACCCACCACCTGGATACAGCAGTTAATATTTTGCTGTATTTACTCTATCAATGTATGTATGTGTGTGTATATATCTTCTATATGTATATCCTTATCTTTACCTCTATTTGTGTATAATTTGCTGAACCATTTCAGTGAAAATAATATGCAGGTATCTTGTTACTTCATTCCAAATATTTCAGTATGCATCAAGTAAAAATTAGGACATCTGTTTAACCACAGTGCTATTATTATATCTAAAGAAATTAATGATAATTCCTTAATATTCAAGTTCATTTTGGAATTCCCGCAGTTATCCCAAAATGTCTTTTAAAGGTGCTTTTTTTTTTTAAAGGATCCAATCAGATTCATGCATATCCAGTCAAGTTCATGTATTATGCTTGATTCTTTTTTTTTTTTTTTTTTTTTTTTGAGACGGAGTCTCGCTCTGTTGCCCAGGCTGGAGTGCAGTGGCTGGATCTCAGCTCACTGCAAGCTCCGCCTCCCAGGTTTACGCCTGCCTCAGCCTCCTGAGCAGCTGGGACTACAGGCGCCCGCCACCCCGCCCGGCTAGTTTTTTGTATTTTTTAGTAAAGACGGGGTTTCACTGTGTTAGCCAGGATGGTCTCGATCTCCTGACCTCGTGATCCGCCCGTCTCGGCCTCCCAAAGTGCTGGGATTACAGGCTTGAGCTACCACGCCCGGCCTATGCTTGATTCTTATAACTCTTTAGTCTTTTTAATCTCTAGAAAAGCCCACACTTTTTTCCCTCATGACATTAACCTTTTGATGAATGTCAAGTGTCTTTTTTTTTTTTTTTTTGAGGCGGATTCTTGCTCTGTGGCCCAGGCTGGAGTGCAGTGGCACGATCTTGGCTCACTGCAACCTCCACCTCCCGGGTTCAAGCGATTCTCCTGCCTCAGCCTCCTGAGTAGCTGGGATTACAGGAGCCCGCCACCACGCCCGGCTAATTTTTGTATTTTTAGTAGAGATGGGGTTTCACCGTGTTGGCCAGGCTGGTCTAGAACTCCTGACCTTATGATCCACCCACCTCGGCCTCCCAAAGTGCTGGGATTACAGGCATGAGCCACCGTGCCCGGCCATGTGTCTTTATTTTATTTTTGAGACAGGGTCTTGCTCTGTCACCTAGGTTGGAGTACAGTGGCTCCATCTTGGTTTATTGCAACCTCTGCTTGCTCTCAGCCTCCCAAGTAGCTGGGATTACAGGCATGTGCCACCACGCCTGGCTAATTTTTTTTTTTTTGGTAGAGATGGGGTTTCGCTGTGTTGACCAGGCTGGTCTCAAATTCCTGGCCTCAAGCGATTCTTCCGCCTTGGCCAAAGTGCTGAGATTACAGGTGTGATCCACCACACCCGACCTCAGGTGTCTTAATTGCAGTTTTGTAGTTTCTTTTAATTATATTAAAGAATTCCTTGAATGTTGACATACATCATTTTGACATACATCACTTTTAATTAAAAAATTTTTTAGCATAGTAACTTGTAAAATTTTCATGTTTTAAGACATTAATATGCTTTTCTTGAGCTAAATTGTTCCTAATTTTTTTCTCAGGAGAAAGTATTTTATGTTGGGAGAAAATGACAGAACAAATTCAGGAAGCTAATGTTAAGAACTTAAAAAAACATGATGATTCCTCAGAAGTGGCTAATATTGAAGAAAGGTATTGTTCATGTTGAAAGTGAGAAATGTGACTATTTAGTACAATAGCTAGCCTTTGTTATTGAACACTTGTTTGAAAGATCTGTACTTTTCTTGTTTCTGCTTGACGATGCTTTAAAGTATAAGGTTAAAGATACAACCTCTTATGTACTGTCAACAGCAAAGGAGGTTGGGAGATATGTCACTTAAAGCTGCTTTGACATTGTGTTGTCAAAGCTTTTTCACTTAAGAGAAACATCTGGATAAAATCAATTTTCTCTCAAATAGTTAAATCCTATTTTTGGAGAAGGGAAAAATTAAGTATTGGCATCTCCCATTTGGTGTCACTTATTAATTATAATTGCATAATCAGTTTAGTTACAGAATTTTAAAATATGGCAAAGATAAAGTATTTTATCATTTAAGTAATTTAAAAAATTTATTTCAAAATTTTCGAATATAATGATATGGACAAAATGACTTTTCTGATTATCACTCTACTCACATTAAGGGCCTTTCTTAATTAAAAAAATGCATATTTAGTGATCTATTTTTGAAATACATTTTAAAGTTATTTGCTGAATGTGTTACTCCATGTGTTAATCTGTAGTCGATAGATGGACTTCAGAAGGGTTCTTAGGACTCCAGAGTCATGTGAAGAGTGTTGTGTGTTTCTGTATTTTAAGGGGTGGAGAGGGATTGTGGCTTTTGTTAGCTTCTCAAAGGGAGGCGCTGATTTTGGGAAAAGTTAGTTCTCCGTGTTGTCAAGGGTTTCTATACCAGGCACACTAAGTGTAAAATATTTACACATTATGATTTGCATGTTAAATAACTTTGTGTTTCTAACTAGGCCCATTAAAGCTGCTATTAGAGAAAGGAAACAGACCTTTGAAGACTACTTAGAAGAACAAATTCGGTTGGAAGAGCAAGAACTGAAGCAAAAACAGCTGAGGGTGAGCAATGTGCTCCTCTGATTAAATCGCTCTAAGGCTTTAGAGATTTATCTATAATTTGCCTTAAAAATAACTTTGAGATGACTTGGATTTACCAAAATTAATTCAAATATTATTATTTTATTTTAGGAAGCAGAAGGACCACTGCCAATCAAAGCAAAACCAAAAAAACCATTTTTAAAACGAGGAGAAGGTTTAACCAGATTTACTAATGCTAAATCTAAGTTTCAAAAAGGGAAAGAAAGTAAACTAGTGACTAACCAGAGCACTTCCGAGGACCAGCCACTGTTTAAAATGGATAGACAGCAACTCCAGCGGAAAACCGCTCTCATAAATAAAGAGCCGTGTGCAGACAGCCCTGCCCTGAAAAAGGAGAGTAAAGCTGGAACCAAGGGTGGTTCTGTCGCCCTCAGTCAGAAGCCGAAAGTGCTGAAGTGTAGTGACAGGAAAAGTCTTTCTCCATCAGGACTGAAAATACACACAGGGAAGAAATGTGATGGGCAATGTAGAGACCAGATCAAATCTGATAAAAGAGTCGCATCTGATAATAAAGAAAATGTGCCTGAGTGTCGAAAGCCTTGCGATGCTGGCTGCACAGGGCGGAATAAGATGCCAGGTAAAGACGGACCTCCTCTTTCAGCGGGGCCGGCCAGCCGCCTGGCTTCCGAGAGCCCCATGAGGGAGACTGTGAAAGAGTCTGAATCTTCTCTTGATGTTTCTCTTCAGAAAACGTTAGAGACTTGGGAACGAGAAAAGGAAAAGGAAAATTTGGAATTAGATGAATTTTTGTTTTTAGAACAAGCTGCTGATGAAATATCATTTTCTAGTAATTCCTCATTTGTACTGAAAATCTTAGAAAGGGATCAGCAGATCTGCAAAGGTCACCGGATGTCTTCCACCCCTGTCAAAGCTGCGCCACAGAAGACAAATCCGGCAGATCCCGTGCGTCAGTGTAACCGCGGTGAGGGTTTGGACCACACTGCACGTGAGAAGGACGGCGAGTGTGAAGTCACACCCAGACAACTCCGTTCACTGTCCTCAGCTGATGAATCGAGGGAACAGCGTTGTAAAATCAGTAGGAAAGCCGTCCAAAAGAGCACTTCTGAAAATCAAATGGAATGGAACGCAGGTGACGATGAAGGTGTTCCGAACAGTGACAGTAGCACTGACTCTGAGGAACAGCTTGATGTTACCATAAAACCCTCCCCTGAGGATAGAGAAAGGGGCTTCAGCAGCAGAGAGGACAGCCCCCACGTCTGTGATGGTAAGGGGCCTTTTAAGGACACCGGGGCCCAAGAAGATAAAAGGAGAGACGTCGATCTGGATTTGTCTGATAAAGATGACAGTAGCGATGAGTCTGTCATAGAAAGCGTAAAACACAAAGCATCTGAGCCTGCAAGACCCTCATCCCTAAGTATGAGTAAAATGGACTTTGATGATGAGAGAACTTGGACTGACCTTGAAGAGAACATGTGTAATCATGACGATATTCTTGGGAATGAATCCACTTCTGGGACGCCGCAGACATGCTACCCTAATAATGAAATAGGTATCCTGGACAAAACAATAAAAAGGAAGATTGCACCAGTCAAGAGGGGAGAAGACTTGAGCAAGTCCAGGAGGAGCAGAAGTCCTCCTCCTACGTCGGAGCTGATGATGAAATTCTTTCCTGCTTTGAAACCAAAACCAAAGTCAGATTCACACTTGGGAACCGAACCCAAGTTAAACATAAGTCAAGACCAACCACCTGGTGAGTCAGAGCATTATAAAATATGTATCTGAATGTTAGAAAGTTAACATGTATCAGTATGCTGTCAGAATGCTTAACATCCTAACTTTCCTTATTGCTCAATAGAAGTCAAATTAATGGGTGATTGTAAAAATTTGATTTATTTTGTGGGTTGATATAAAGCTTTAAAATTAATTACTTTTTAATAAAGTGAGATAACATCAAAGCTTCTATGTTTCCATTCCTCCCCAGACCTGGTTCAAGTCCCCCTTCTAGAGGTACCAGTATTACCATTTCATGTGTGTATTCTAAAGAGTCCATGCCTTAAAAAGCATATGCGTCAGTTTGTATATAATTACCTTTCTATGCAAATGAAAATATGCTTTTTTACATACTGTCCTGCACCTTGCTTATGATAAATTTTGAAGATTGTTCTAACGCATATACACATCTTCTTCATTCTATTTAATAGATGTGTAGTGTTTCTGTTGATGTAACGAACTTTTTAAACTCACGCTGAAAGATTCCTTTCCATTATATTGTATTATAAAGTCTGACTGCCTAGCAGAGCGTAGGTGCTTTAAAATAGAAATTATAACGTTATTTTTCAAAAATTCTGATATTAAAAGTAATTTTTTTTGTACAGAGTTTGGAAGCTTAAAAAATATAGAAGCAAAAATATTTACAACTTAACTACCCAAAAGTGACTGCTATGCCATTTTGGGATATTTCCTTCCAGTCATTTTTTCTATGTAGTTTTAATATGACAGAGTTTATGACTTGCCTCATTCCTTTAGCCTTGTGCATCACATTTCTTTTCTAAAAAAGTACTAATTGATGAAATGCTTCTTTGAATTGAAGGACAGAAGCACTGGCTATTTTACATTTTAAATAGCAAATTTGATAAAGGGAAAAAATCTTAGTTTGCATTTATTTGATTAGTAGTAGGGGGTAAACTGATTTTGGTGTTGATTAGCTCTTTAGATCTGTTGTGGATTACTTATTCATGTTCTTAAGCTATTTATATATATTAGTCTTTTAAAAATGGATTTGAATGATTTCTTTTTGTGTATCATGTTGATTCCTTATCAGGTCGATACTCTCTTCAGGTAGATTAATTCATAAATACACACTGATTTCCTCAGGAAAGTTAGGTTTAATATTTTTCCTTTTCATATTTGAAGCATTGTTTCTAATGCATTTTATTTTATTTTATTTTATTTTAATTTTTTTTTTTGAGGCGGAGTTTCGCTCTGTCGCCCAGGCTGGAGTGCAGTGGCCGGATCTCAGCTCACTGCAAGCTCCGCCTCCCGGGTTCATGCCATTCTCCTGCCTCAGCCTCCCGAGTAGCTGGGACTACAGGCGCCCGCCACCTCGCCCGGCTAGATTTTTTGTATTTTTTAGTAGAGACGGGGTTTCACCGGGTTAGCCAGGATGGTCTTGATCTCCTGACCTCGTGATCCGCCCGTCTCAGCCTCCCAAAGTGCTGGGATTACAGGCTTGAGCCACCGCGCCCGGCCTCTAATGCATTTTAATGGCACAGATGTTTGCCATATTCCTGGTTCTTAGTGTTACTAGCTAGTTGGTGTTTTTGCTGCAGTGAGGCCTTTTGTGAAGTTCAGTATTTATGGCCTATTTCATAGGTGACAATGCTCGATCCCAGGTTTTGAGAGAGAAAATTATTGAATTGGAAACAGAAATAGAAAAGTTTAAAGCCGAGAACGCATCTTTAGCTAAACTTCGCATTGAACGAGAAAGTGCCTTGGAAAAACTCAGGTACGTTTGGGTCTGTAAGGTGGGAAAAAATATGCGAATTTTTGTGATTCAGTTATACCTTTAAGACCATCTGCAAACAGTCTGAAACATTTTAAATCAATCCAGCAAATGTAACTGAAAAGGAGGCGAAATCTGTTATCATATACGTTTTTTTACTGAATAAAATGACCCAGTGTAGTCAATGATGTGTACGAAGGGGAATTTTCTTAGTGGAGAGATCATATATTAAAATTTGAAAAGCAGTTTGGAGCTGTGGTACCTTGCCTAGTTAGCGTGTTGGTTTCTCTGGGCTGCTGTAACAAAGTACTCCCACCTAGGTGGTTTTAAACAACAGAAATGTATTTTCCTGTGGTTCTGGAGGCTGTAAGTCCAAAGTCCATGCACCAGCCAGGCGGGCCATGCTGGCTCGTCCAGCTTCTGGTGGTTTGGGGCACTCTTTGGTGTTTCTTGGATTGCAGCTACATCACGCCAGTCTCCGCCTCTGTGGTCACACGACCATCTTCCCTCTGTCCGTGTCTTCACATGGCATTCCCCTCCGTGTGTGTGTCTGTCTCGGTGCCTCTTTTAAGGATAGGGTCACATTGGATTAAGGGCCCACCCTACTCCAGTATAACCTCATCTTAACTGGCATCTTACTTGTATCTCCAAAGGCCCTATTTCCAATAAGGTCACATTCACAGGGATTAGGACTTCAACATATTATTTTCGAGGACACAGCTCCACCTACAGCAGTCAATAGTAGGACATATCGTTCCTACCCTAGGTCATGGTCTCACCTGACTTTATTGGTTAGCGAAACTTGAACTGAACTTACATGAGACTATTTATATGTATTATATTTATTATTTCTATTACATATATACATTTTATGTAGACATTTTTAAATTGTACTTGTGAATAGTACTAAGTTCTATTGCAGAAACACTAATACTTTTTATTCCAGATGCTGCTCTAGGTCTTGTTGGGGATATTATATGTCACATGCACACTGTTTTTCTTTGTTTTTTGGTTTTGTTACTTTAACGTTTGAGGAGAAATTCATTCAACTGTAGTTCCCATGGCTGCCTGCTGCGGGATTGGATCTAGGAGATGGTAGCTGCTATGCAAATGCTGAAATTCGCCCAGATTTCCCAGCCTCTTTCTTCTTTAGCACTTGCCAGGACGCTGCAAGGCTTTCGTTAGTGTCCAGAGTTCCCAAGTGGTTGGTTCTGACAGGTGCTGCTAGTTCAATAGCTGCTTTGGTGGAGGGACTGATTCTTGGAGCTTCCTATTCCACCATCTTCCTTGACATCTCTTCCGTATTTCTTCTCTAAAAACCTGAAAAATAGGAATTCTAAAGCACACCTGGCCCGTAAGTTCCAGATAAAGGTTTATAGAGAGCTATTAATCCACTTAAAAAGGAAATTCAGTTACTATACTGTATTCTGCACTATGCTTAAAAATCAAATTCTGAAAATTTGTTATTTTTTAATTGAAACATCTTTGTGTTTCTGCTGATACATACTGTAAATATATACTTATTAGTGATGGGTAAAACGTGGAACGTATTCCAATCCCTTCTCCACCCAAGATGACTTTTAAAATGTCTCTACGGCCGGGCGCGGTGGCTCACGCCTGTAATCCCAGCACTTTGGGAGGCCGAGGCGGGCGGATCACAAGGTCAGGAGATCGAGACCATGGTGAAACCTCGTCTCTACTAAAAAATAGAAAAAAATTAGCCGGGCGCAGTGGCGGGCGCCTGTAGTCCCAGCTACTTGGGAGGCTGAGGCAGGAGAATGGCGTGAGCCCGGAAGGCGGAGCTTGCAGTGAGCCGAGATTGCGCCACTGTACTCCAGCCTGGGCGACAGAGCGAGACTCCGTCTCAAAAAAAAAAAAAAAAAATGTCTCTACTTTGGGAGGCCGAGACGGGCGGATCACGAGGTAGGAGATCGAGACCATCCTGGCTAACATGGTGAAACCTTTTCTCTACTAAAAATACAAAAAAACCAGCCGGGCGAGGTGGCGGGCGCCTGTAGTCCCAGCTACTCAGGAGACTGAGGCAGGAGAATGGCGTGAACCTGGGAGGCAGAGCTTGCAGTGAGCTGAGATCCGGCCACTGCACTCCAGCCTGGGTGACAGAGCGAGACTCCGCCTCAAAAAAACAAAAAAAAAGTCTCTACTTCATTATTTCAAAATGGACATCTTTTTCTTTTAAAGAACATTTAAATCATAAGATAATGGCTGGGTTTTTTTGTTTTTTTGTTTTTTTGGCGGAGTCTCGCTCTGTCACCCAGGCTGGAGTGCAGTGGCCGGATCTCAGCTCACTGCAAGCTCCGCCTCCCGGGTTGACACCATTCTCCTGCCTCAGCCTCCCGAGTAGCTGGGACTACAGGCGCCCGCCTCCTCGCCCGGCTAGTTTTCTGTATTTTTCATTTTTCCTGTGTCAGTTTTGCTTTGTTCCAAGAAAAATTCAGTCCTCGAATTTAGACATTGTGTTATTCTTCCCAACTTGCAGACAAGGAAACTGATGCACTGAGAAGAAAGTTTTTAAGTTTACCTCCTTAGTGACAGAGCCTCAGTGGCAGCCTAGGCAGTGTGGTTCGGTAGAGCCCCGGACTGTGCTGTATGGGGTCTTTAATCTGCTTTTTATTTTATTTTTATTTTTTTGAGACAGCATCTGGCTTTGTCACCCAGACTGGAGTGGAGTGGTGCGATCTTGGCTCACTGCAACCTCTGCCTCCTGGACTCAAACCATCCTCCACCTCAGCCTCCTGACAGGCATGCGCCACCACGCCCAGATAATTTTTGTATTTTTGGTAGATACGGGGTTTTGCCATGTTCCCCAGGCTGGTCTTGAACTCCTGGGCTCAAGTGATGCCCCCCGCCTTGGGCTCCTCAAGTTCTGGGATTACAGGCATGAGCCACCATGTCCAGCCCTGCTTTTTATTTTAACAACATAATAGACATCTTACTCTATTAGCACACCCTAGTCTTCTGTATCCTTGAAATGACTGTATTGTATTAATGCTACTGTGACTAATCTGTTACCGGAAATTTAGCTTGTTTAGAATTTGTCACTATTACAAATTATTATGCAGGGAATATCATCATATGTATGAGGCACTTTCTATTTAAAAATATACTTCCTTGTGATAAATTTTAAGAATGTCTGTTGCCCCAGTCAGCATCTGAGGCTTCTTTTCACGCCTTTCGCCATCACTGGAGTTGAGCGTTAGCAGTCTTTCAAATCTTGCCAGCCTGGTAATTATACCATCTTTCACCTGCTGAAGTTTGCATTTCTTTAATTATTGATAAACTCGAGCATGCTTTAATATTTAGCGGTCATTTGTGTTTATTTTGTAACTTTCTTTGTGACCTTTGCTCATTTTTCAGGATCCTAAACTTTCTCAAATGTACCACAAGTATTCCTCCCCCAGTGTTTGCTTTGACTGTGTGATTGTGTGCACACTGTTGACATTTTGCATATTTAGTCAGTAAGAGTATCTTTTACCTTATCTGTCTGCTGTCCCTCCAGTGAGGCAGGGAGAGACTTGTCCAGTCTCGAGGCTTTAAATGCTGTTATGCCCCAGATCCAGATCTCACCCACATCTGCTATCCCACTGCCTCATTGTTGTCTCTGCCTGGAGAGCTGATGAGTGTTTAAATTGATCATTTAGAAAAAGTGAGCTCCCGATGTTCCCTCCTGAACTTACTTTTCTCTTCTTCTTCCCTGTCTCAGCATGAGAGTCTGCTCTTCATTTGCCCAGTGGAAAATCTTGGAGTCATGCTTGAGTCTTCTCTTGCTCTCTCAGTCCGTTTCTAACCCGACTGCTTCACTGCCTCAGAGCTGCCACTCTCGACCAGGGCCCCATTGGCTTTCCCTGGTTGTTAAAATCGTTTCCTATAGGTCTCTCTGCCGCCCGTGTCCGTGCCCTTCACACACATCCATGGCCAGCCTGTGTTTGGGCAGTTCATCTGATCAAGGCCGCCTCCTTTTTTTTTTTGGAGATGGAGTTTCATTCTTGTTGCGCAGGCTGGAGTGCAATGGCGTGATCTCGGCTCACTGCAACCTCCACCTCCCAGGTTCAAGCGATTCTCCTGCCTCAGCCTCTTGAGTAGCTGGGGTTACAGGCATGTACCACCATGCCCAGCTAATCTCGTATTTTCAGGAGAGACGGGGGTTTCTCCATGTTGGTCAGGCTGGTCTTGAACTGACCTCAGGTCCAGCTGCTGACCTGATCTGCCCGCCTCGGCCTCCCAAAGCACTGGGATTACAGGAGTGAGCCACCGTGCCTGGGCTGTCTCCTTTTTTGACACCTCCTGCTACCCATCCTTTGCTCACTCTGTTTTAGCCACACTGGCCTCCTGGCTGTTCTTTGAACACCTCAGCCACATTCCTGCCTCAGGGCTTTGGCACTTGCCGCACCCTCTGCCTGCACTGCTGTATGTGGACATCCTTGTGACCGCCTCTCATTGTCTTCAGGTTTCCTTCATGTTATCTCAGCAAGAGAACCCCTCATATTATCTCAGCAGGATAAGCCCTCACGTACAGTTGCACCGTCCCATTCTGGTATTTCCTAAACTTCTGCCTTGCTTTATTTCTCTTTAATGCTTCTAATATTCCATGTACTTATTTACCTTCTTTATTATCATCTGTCTTCCTTTAGAATGTAAGAAGCTGCATGGGAATAAGATTTTTTTTTTTTTTTTTTTTTTTGAGACAGGGTCTCCTCTCTTGTCCAGGCTGAAGTTGAGAGACAGAGTCTCTCTGTTGCCCAGGCGATCACGACTCACTGCAACCTCGAATTCCTGGACTTGGGCCTGCCTCAGCCTCCCAGTTTTGGGATTACAGGCATACACCACTGTGCCCAGCTAGAATGTTTGTTTTTTTCCCTGTGGTTTCCTCACTTCCTTGTAGAATGCCTGGTTCATCGTAGGCACCCAGTGAATGCTTGTTGGACGAATGCTTTGGTGAGTGGATTGGCTGTTATTTCAGGCCTCTGGATTGAAGAGGAATTCACCGGGACTAGCAGTTACTAGCCTGTCAGCAGATTCTGTACATCACTGCACCAAGATGGTCTCCTTAGGTGATAACATAATCTGGTCATTTTAGGAAAGAAATTGCAGACTTTGAACAACAGAAAGCAAAAGAATTAGCTCGAATAGAAGAGTTTAAAAAGGAGGAGATGAGGAAGCTACAAAAGGAACGCAAAGTTTTTGAAAAGTATTCTACAGCTGCAAGAACTTTTCCAGATAAAAAGGAACGTGAAGAAATACAGGTATGCTAGCTCTTTGTTATAGTCATGTAAGTTAGTAAAGGTGACAATCTTGTAAGAATCTGTTATTTCTTATGTCAAAGCAAAACTGTGTCAATCCATCATTCATTCATTCAGCAAATAATCTGTCTGAGACAGTGCATCAGGAATGTCTTCTGTAGTCTGAGTTTTAAAGAGTAGAAGATAACAATTCTTTTCTTATAAGTAAAGGCTTCCTAGAAAAGACCATGATAATGTCATAGATGAATTAACAAGCCCGGAGCTGGAAATTCACCGGCATAATGTTGTCTTAATCTTTTTGACCTACCACACACCAAATACTATTAGTTCTGTTCATTTATCATAATTTACGACCGTAAATAACCAGGTCTTTAATTCTAAAACTTATAAACTGATAGGCCAGATTATCAGTCCTGTTCATTTCATAGTTAGAAATGGACATGTTAAAACTATAAACCTTCTAGAAAAAAATAGGTGAATCTATTTACAACATTGGCATATGCGAAGATTTCTAAGAGAAGACACAACCAACTATAAAAGAAAAAATGGATATATTGGACTTCATCAAAGTTAAGACTTATCAAAAGAGAAATTTTAAATGGCTATCCATTGCTTCTAGCATAAAATGGAAACTCCACTGTCTGTATTTTAATTACTAGCATTTTTCAGTTCCATCCTTTGCTTTCTTCCTGTCTCGTGTAGCCATTCTGATCTGCACACCTACACCTTGAGTTACTGAACAGCACGGTGCTCAGGGTCTTTAATTCTCTCTTAATGTTTGTGGGAAGAAACGTACTATTATGTTTTGGTTAATACTTAGTTTATTAACTGTAATATGTTAGATGTTGGCAATATTAAAACTTTTATTTCAAAAGGTAATATAAGTATATTGTCATTCAAAAGTTACAAAAAGATGTGTGGTGAAATTTCTCCCTCACCCTTGTCCTGGTCACCTATTCAGTTGTTTTTTGAAAATAATTTTTTATTATGGAAAATTTCAAAAATACATAAAGGTAGCAAGAACAGAGTGAATTCCCATATTTCACCAGTGATCATTTTGTCTTTCTAATTTCATCTCTCTCCCCTCATACTCTTTTTTTTGCTTTTTAATCTGGAATTTAAAAAGTGAAATCCCAGACATCTGCTCATTTCACCTATACATAGTCTAGTATGTTTCTCTGAGAAAGACACCTTTAAAAAAATAAGACTATTGACTGGGGGCGGTGGCTCACTCCTATAATCCCAGCACTTTGGGAGCCGAGGCAGGCAGATGACTTGAGGTCAGGAGTTTGAGACCAGCCTGGCCAGCATGGCAAATCTCCATCTCTACGAAAAATACAAAAAAATTAGCCAGGTGTGGTGGTGCGCCTGTAGTCCCAGGTACATGGGAGGCTGAGGCAGGAGAACCACTTGAACCCGGGAGGAGGAGGTTGCAGTGAGCCAAGATCATGCTCCTGCACTCCAGCCTGGGTGACAGAGTGAGACTCCGTCCACTGGGCGGGGTGGGGGGAATTATACCTTTGTCACACCTATAACAAAATTTATAGTATCAATGAATACTTAGTCCATATTCAGATTTTCCAATTGCTTGGTATCTTTACAGTTGATTTGTTTGCATTGTAATTCACCTCTCTTGAGGCAGCCAGTGTTATCAATCTCGTATCTTTCCAGAGAAATTCTTAGAAAGTACATACATATATTCATGCTGTTTTTTTTTTAAACATTAATGGTAGTCTACTGAAATCATGATGTATCTTAACAGAACATCTTTATTCTTTGTTTTATTATTGTATAGAATTGTAGTATGTGCCATAATTTACTCACCTAAGCACTATGTATTTCTGTTCTTTTTCTGTTTACAAGAATCCAAGAAGGGCTGTACTGAATGACTTTGTGCATATATGACCTCTCACAATCGTTCTCCCACTTATTCATTCAGCACATGGCTACTGAGGACCTGCCGTGTAGCAGGCATGTACTGGGAATGCAGCAGTGAACAAAAGCAATCAATCCCTGTCCTCATGTAGCTTATGTCCTGGAGTCTATCTCTAGGATGGATTCCTACAAGTGAGATGTTGAGGTTAAAGGTATGTACATTGATACAAATTGCCAGATTATCCCTCCATAAACATCATGCCAAATTTTAGTTCAGTTTTATTTTTTATTTTTATTTTTTGAAACACTTCATAGCCCAGACTGGAGTGCAGGGGTAAATCTCAGCTCACTGCAACTTCCATCTCCCAGGTTCAAGCGAGTCTCCTGCCTCAGCCCCTCAAGTAGCTGGGATTATAGGTGCCCACCACCATGGCTGGCTAATTAATTTTTAGTTCTACTAGCAATTCTTAGAGGGTTTGTTGTTCTCTACTTGATAGGTAAGAGGTTAAAAATTGATATTAAACTTAATTGAATTTCTTTTAAACAATCTGAATTATAGTTACAGATTTAGTATGGCTGTTTTTGGTGAACAAGCCATATACTTGAAACAGTAGTTACAACAAATTCTGCTCTCAGAAAACTTAACTGAATTAAAAACCATAGCCTATTCTAAAATACATGATGGGTTTGTCATTTCATTTTTCTTTCTGGATCTCCTAGAATTAGAGATATTTTAAATACCTTGCTGTGTTCTGAAAATCTTACCAGATTCGAAGGGAAAAAATAAATAACCTCCTTAGATCACTGATCCAAGGTTATGAGATAGATTGTTTTCCTTCTCCTCTTTCTCATAGCTCTGATCCTGACTGCTTCTTCCAAGGTGATTCAAACCAGAGCAAACACTTCTTTTTGTTGTACTTTGTTAGGTGAATAACGTGGGTTTTCTCTTTTTTTTTTTTTTGAGACGGAGTCTCACTCTGTCACCCAGGCTGGAGTGCGGTGGCGCGGTCTCGGCTCACTGCAAGCTCCGCCTCCCGGGTTCCCGCCATTCTCCTGCCTCAGCCTCCCGAGTAGCTGGGACTACAGGCGCCCGCCACCTCACTTGGCTAGTTTTTTGTATTTTTAGTAGAGACGGGGTTTCACCGTGTTAGCCAGGATGGTCTTGATCTCCTGACCTCATGATCCGCCCGTCTCGGCCTCCCAAAGTGCTGGGATTACAGGCTTGAGCCACCGCGCCCGGCCGTGGGTTTTCTTTTCTTGCAACTTGGTGCCTTTCCCTCACACGACGTGTCCTCTGATTCTCAGGCTCCGCAGTCCAGGCTCTTATCCCTGTGTGGCTATTTCCATTTAAATTAATTAGCGGTAAATTGAAAAGTCAGCTTCTCATTCCCATTAGCTACATTTCCGGGACTTAGTAGCCACCTGTGGTGGGCTGGTGGCTGCCACACTGCACCGTGCAGGACTGGGCACATCCTCGCTGCTGGCAGCCCTGGGCTGTGCCCATCAGTGGGCTTGTTGGGTGGTAAGGGGCTGGGCTGGTGAGTTGCCTTCCCTCTTCAGGAGCTCATTCTTGAGCTCGCCTTTGTTGGTTTATGTGATTTCTGGTGTTGATTGAAGTTTTGGAACCTGTTCATACTTGGTCATCATGTGTGGCCCTGGGTATTCATTATTTCTTGCCGGTTTTGGTGCAGTTCCTTTTCTTCCTTACACGGTTTGGCTTATTCATAGCTCCCCATATTTACCTTTCTCTCTACTTCTGTGCAAAAATATACTTTAAAAACAGATATATACTTCATAGAAAAACAAACCTATGTTTGTTGATACTCTATTAAATCATCCAAAAATTAAGGGGAGGGCATATTTAACCTTCCTTTACATTACAGTTATGTTAAAAAATATTATTTTATTTTAGGTATTCTTTCAGTACATTTATTGAGAACCCCTTTTGTACTAGACATTTGTAGTCATTGAGGAATTGACGATGAGTTAGCCATTTCTGCCCTCCTGGAATTTACATTCATCGTTACTGAGTCATAGCTTTTCACACAGGTTATTTTAATTAATTATAAAATTTCCATTTTGATATTTAAGTGGTCCCAACTTGACCAGTGCGGGAGCCCGTTTAAATCCATGGCTCCCTTGCCACTTAGCACTGCCCTTGGTGTTTTGAGAGCATTGCTTTCTGGAACAACGGGTTATTTGAGACTATTTGGTTTTGGCTTTCTTTCTTTCCTTTTTCTTTTTCTTTTTCTTTTTCTTTGAAACAGTCTTGCTGTGTCACCCAGGATGGAGTGCAGTGGTGCTATCTAGGCTCACTGTAAGCTCTGCCTCCCGGGTTCACGAGTTTCTCCTGCCTCAGCCTCCTGAGTAGCTGGGACTACAGGTGCCTGTGTGTGTGTGTGTGTGTGTGTGTGTGTGTGTGTGTGTGCAGCACCCGGCTAATTGTGTGTGTGTTTGTGTGTTTAGTAGAGACAAGGTTTCATGTCAGCCAGGGGGTGTGTGTGTGTCGTGCCCGGCTAATTGTGTGTGTGTGTTTAGTAGAGACAGGGTTTCATCATGTCAGCTGGGGGTGTGTGTGTGTGTGTTTAGTAGAGACAGGGTTTCACCGTGTTAGCCAGGATGGCCTCCATCTGCTGACCTCGTGATCCGCCCGTCTCGGCCTCCCAAAGTGCTGGGATTACAGGCTTGAGCCACCGCGCCCGGCTTTGGCTTTCTTTTTTAAACCTGCTCTGGTCTGGCATCCACTGCGCTGCAAGGAGCCGGGCTGCTCTGGGGCCGCTCTGGGTGTAGAGCCTGTGGAGGCTGACGGCCTTCTGCAGGTCCGGAGTCCCCTCGGTCTTCCCTGCCTTGGCTCCTGCCCTTTCCTCCCGTTTTCACGGCGCAGGCTCTCAGCTGTGCTCACCGGGCCTGGCCAGCAGGACGTGGAGCCGCTGCAGGGTGTGGTGAGGCTGGGGGACCTGAGATTTCCCGGCCACGCCTCTGAGCTTTCGCGCTGTGCTGGAAGTCTGCTCCCCAGCCGCGGATCCCCCCGCCAGCCAGGCCTGCTGGCTTCACCCCGCAGGTCGTTTCCTGCTGCCCCTTTCTCCTCCCGGCTCCTCTCCCATCTGTCTGGGTCTGGACCCTCACCAGTCCCCCAGCCTAGGGACTCCCTTCTCTTCCTCTCCCCGCTCCCCAGGGTCTCCGCTGGCTGGCTGCGGCCTCCCCCTCCCTCTGCACCCCGAGGGCGTCTCATCCTCCACCCAGTCCATCCCCGTGTCCAGCCCGCGGAGCTCACTCTCCGCCTCTACCTTCTGTCTCCACCGCGCGTTTTGCCCCCAGCCCTTCCTGTCCTTACTGCCTGCTGGCGTTTCTTCAAACAAACTCACCCAACCCCGCAGCCCTCTCTGTGTTTTCCTTTGCAGCAAAACTTAAAAGCCTTGCCCGTATTCACTGTGCCTGGATTTCCAGACGTCACCAGCTGTTTTGCCACACGCCCTGCGGCGTGGCCTCTGGTCATTCTATGGCACTGACGCGGCCCCTGGCGAGTCCTTGTACCCATCCGACCACGAACCCCAGGCCTCGTCGGCAGCGGTCTGCCGGTGTCCATCCTGCTGCCATCCTCCCCTGTGCTTGGGCCAGAGGCCTCGAATCATTCTCAGGGCTTCTCTCGCTCTTCCGCTCCATGCTGTTCTGACAGGAAGTCCACTCAGATTCCAGTTGCCACCTCTGGGTTAATGACTTGGCCTCTGCTCTCACCCAGCCCCTGTGGCGTCGCTCCAGGTGACAACAGATCCCCTTCGCTCAGACACCTCCGTGTGCCTCTGCCTTCCTTCCTCTAAGAGCCTCAGTCCCTGTGTGACTGGGCCTCTTTTCCCCTTCCTGTCCCTGGCCAGTCCTCCTGCCATTTACTTGTCACCTGCGCTGGTCCCTTGCAGTGCTGGCATAGTGCCAGGCACCCTCCTGTTGCTTCTCACACGCGCTGCCTCCCCCAGCTATGTTCAGTGACACCCAGCTTATGTCATGCTGCCTCCCCACACAGCCCTGTCACCTCACCTTCCCTGGCTACTCTCCTGTCACCCCCTCACCTGCCCCAGCCACCCTTCCCTGGCTACTCTCCTGTACCCCCTCACCTGCCCCAGCCACCTTCCCACACTTTCCTGCGTCACCCCTCACACTGCCCGGCCACCCTCCCTCTAAATCACCCCTCACCTGCCCCAGCCACCCTCCCTCTTTCCGTCACCCCTCACCTGCCCAGCCACCTCCCTCTCTCCCGTCACCCCCCTCCCTGCCCGGCCACCCTCCCACACTTTCCCTTCACCCCCTCACCTGCCCTAGCCACCCTCCATCGCCCTCCCACTGTCTGCCACCCTCCCATCGCCCTCCCACTGTCTGGCAGAGTGAGCCTCATGAGGTGGAGCTTTGTTCTTAGTATTGCAAGGGCCTGTGACAGTGCCTGATAACAGATATTTTGTAAATATTAATTGCTTTTGAATTCTGCATCCATTTAGACTTATATTTTACCATTTTAGTATGAAATCCATCTTCCTGCATGATAAAAATGCTTACCAGAAAGTTTTCATTTATTGGTCATAATCCGTCTCACAAATGGGAAACCTGATGTTCATGGAGGTTGTGGACCTTGTTTTACGCTTTCAAGTCAGAAAACTCGGACGTGAACCTTGATGTCACCCAATCCAAAGTCCATGCCCTCCATGGTGGGGCCCGGATGTCCTCCCCATCCTCACCAGGCCGCCGTGTGGCCGCCGCAGGGGTTACTGAGTGCAGGGCATGGGCCGGGCCACGCCAGCTGTCTCGCCACTCATGGGCTTCGGTGCCCTACTCCTTCCTTGGCTCGCAGTCAGTCGCTTTCACTTGCAGCTGCACGTGATCTCGAATTGCTTCTAGACATTTCCAGCAGATTCTTCCCTTATTTTAGTCTATCTAAAACAACTCATTTTTTGGAAATTTATTTCTTCTCATGAATTTCAGATAGTTTTCAGGGTGGGTAGTTTTGACTTTGGAATCTTTTTTTCTTTAGCTCTACTCTTCCTTCACTTATTCATGAGTTCCTGTTGCATTTCTTCTTTTCCGGATTTCCCCCATGGATCCCTTTCAGTTAATAGCTCAGGTGAGGTCTTTCCTAGGTCATGGCCGTTTTCTGCTGTTAGCTCCCACATGCTGTCTGCCTTCCTTTCTCCTGGCTTCTGGAATTAGGTTTGCTGATGGTCTATGGTGAGACTCTGATCCCCTCCTCCCGCTGCTGAAAACCGCAGTGGTCTTAGAATGTTGACTAAGCCTTCCCTTTCTGGCTGGCTATTCTGTTTCATTGCTGGGTGTCTATTCTGTTGTCTTAATTCTGGTAATGTAGTAATGCTTTTTTTTTTTTTTTTTTTTTTTGAGAGACTTTAAAACAGCAAATAGCAGATTTACGGGAAGATTTGAAAAGAAAGGAAACCAAATGGTCAAGTACACACGGCCGTCTCAGAAGCCAGATTGAAATGTTAGTCAGAGAGAACACAGACCTCAGGGAAGAAATAAAAGTGATGGAAAGATTCCGACTAGATGCCTGGAAAAGAGCAGAAGCTGTAGAGCGCAGCCTTGAGGTGGAGAAGAAGGACAAGCTCACGGTAGGCGGGGAGGCCGGTGGGTTGTGTCAGGCTGGGGGAGCTTCAGTATCTGAGCATTCAAATTCAGAGAGTCAGAAAGTAGAATGGGGGCTGCCAGGGCCTGGGGGCCAGTGGGGAGGGACTGTGAACGTGGACAGTTTCCATCTTGTAAGATGAAAAGTGTCCTGGAGCTGGATGGAGGGCGATGGTTGCAGTATACCGCAGAGATCCTTAATGCCACTGAAGTGTGCACCTAAACGTGCCGAAGACGGTGAATTTTATGTGATACCTATTTTACCACAACTAAAAAGACTGTCCAAGCGTTGCTATACACGGGTACTTGGCAGACTCATTTCTGTAATTCCTGTGGAGGAGGTTTGCTACAGTAGGCAGATCATCTCTGTTAAAACAGACCAGGGGAGATTCTGGCCGAGAGTTGCACACATAGGACCCTTTTTAATCAAGTAATTGGTCTTTCATTCATCTTTGTGAACCACCAGGGTGTGCCAGGCACTGCGTTAGGTGCTTGGGGTACAGCAGTAAACAGACAAAATTCCTTACCCTTATGAAGCTTACATTCCAGTGGTGGAAGAAAGACTGTAATAAGTCAAATAATAAAACGTGTGGTGTGTGAGATGGTGATGAGACCTTAGGAGAAGCAGGGTGGTGGAGTGGCGTCGCCATCTGGGTGGGACGGCCTGGGACGCGCATGTGAGGAGTGGCTGGGTGGCCGCCTGAGCCTGCAGAGGAGCCCCAGGCTGTAGCCGCTCCTGAGTGGGCCTGGGACGGGGCAATCGGAGAATGGGCGAGGAGCGGTGGGCCAGCCCTTGGGGTGGGATGGGACAGTGGGCGGTGGATGGGAGTCCTAACAGATGGCAGCATGCACCTGGGCGTTTTTTGAGTGAGTGGGAGTCTGGAGGGCTCTGAAAAAACGGTGCCCAGGCCTCTTACTTTACCTCTGACTGCTGTAGACCAGGAACGGGTGGAAGGGAGCGTGGGCAACACCAGGAACGCGGTAGGGCTTGGGGGACTGGGTGGCAGTGGCGGGTGGAGAGAAGCAGACTGTGTTTGTCGTTGAGCTGTGTGTGTGGTTGGTGGTGACATCAAGGAAGGAGTCAGGAATGGCCTCAACTTAGTTTTGTGTTTTGGTCTCATGAAGGTCCCACTGACTAGGAGCAACTGCAACAAGGGAGCACATGGCCACCAGGAACTCAGGCTTGGACAGGGGACATTGAAATGCCTACGAGACACACGGGAGATCTGACTAGGCAGCTGCACACGGCAGCACGGGCTCCGATTGGGGACAGACACCCGGGGTCATCCGATGTGTGATACGGCACTGGGCAGGGAGAGGCGGCAGGGCTGTGAGTAGGCAGGGAGGAGTGGGTGAGCAGCCAGAGAGCAGGAGGCCAGGAGGCCGTGTGGTGTCCTGAGAACAAGTGAAGGAAAGGCTGCAAGGAGGAGAGTGGTCACCTGTGTCGGGTGTGGCAGCACCTCAGAGGACTGGAACCGGCCGGCCATGGGGTTTAGCAGGTAGGAGGAACTGTGGGCCTTGAGAAGGTCTGTTTCCCTGGAGTGTTGAAGAGGAAAGCCTGATTGGCTGGGAGCAGATAACAGCTTTGTAGTTTGGCAGTAAATTAAGGACATGAGGGTAGTGGCCATAGGGAAAATGTTTTGTTTTTAAGATGGTAAAATTAACAGGTGTTTGTGTATTGGTTGGACTGATTCAGTGGAGAGGAAGATAGCGATGCAGGAGAAGTGGAAGAATTGCAGCAGCACCGTACTTGGCGAAGTGAGAGGAGCTGGGTCCAGGCAGGGGGTGGAGGGCAGGCTGTGACCAGGCAATGGCCTTCCTGCCCAGAGGCGGGAGGTGCAGGCACAGCGCGGGCTTCTGTGAGGGCGGAGGTGGCAGGAGGGGAGGAGATACAGAAAGCCAGAGGTCATCTGTATGAACAAAAGCAGAGGCTGGGGTAATAGAGTGATTCGTGGCTGCACCTGCGCCCACCTGGGTCAGAGACTGAAGTTTTAAAACGAGAACTGCACGTATGTTGTTCTTAGCTTGTGGTCATCCAAGTGAATGCCACCCAGTGAGCAGAGGGAGGGAAGCTAACAGTGCGTGTGACGAGCGACTGCTGCAGAGCATACTTCAGCTGCAAGAGGACAGTGTGGGCCCGGAGGCTTTCAGGACATGGCAAGCACTGGGGGTCGAGGACCCGCAGGGCCATGTCTGTCGGCTGTGAGCGTGGTCAGAGGCAGGGAATTAACAGAATGAGCTGCAAAGACGGGAGAGTAGTGAGAAAGTAGCGTTCTGCTCCTCGCCGCCCCCCACCTTTTAGTGTGAAAGCTTCCCAAAATAGAGAATAGGGGAAAGAATGTACAGTTAACACCTGGGTACCCACTTGGATTCAACCACTAGGAACATTTTGCCATAGTTCTGCCTGTTTCACTGAACCATTTGAAGGTAGTTGTAGGAATCATGGCATCTCACCCCTAAATGCTTTAGCATTTTATTAAATTGCATTAACTTTTGAAGAGACCAGGCTGATTATTTTCTAGAATGCCCCACCTTCTGGATTTTTATAAGTAGAATGCCTTGAAATTAATAATTTTGTGGTTATTGATAATTGCAGATGTTGATAGTATTGATAATGACAAGTTCTAGGGTTGACCACTGGGGTGTGGAGCTGAGGTAGGACACCAAGAAGGACAGCACTGGAAGCATCATCTCCTGGCAGGGAGGGACCTGGTGGGGGCTGGGGCAAGTAGTATTGGGGCTTGACTTGGCCAGAAATGGAGGTGGGATGCAGAGAGGACTCACCCCACCTCCTCCTCACAGGGAGTGCTCAGTGGTGGTCTCGGGGAGAGCTGGGCTCAGCTGGACTGTCCTGGGGGGAGTATGTGTGGGGAGCACCCTGCTCTGTAATGGTCAGAGGAGATGGTTCAGGTTACCTTGCCTGCTGTGTCCTCACTTGAATGTTTGTCAAAAGGAGCGCGCGTGTGTGTGTGTGTGCACGCGTGTAGTGATTCCTAAATAACAGCTTGTTTTCGTCTATTGTATAAATGAAAATAATATGAATAAACAAAACCCACGGCGTTATCATCACTAGCTGAGTTTTATTAGTTTCACTTAGTGTATTAATAGACTAACACTCATTTTAAATAAAAAATTCTCTTATGCTATAGAACACATCTGTTCGATTTCAAAACAATCAGATTTCTTCAGGAACCCAGGTAGAAAAATACAAGAAAAATCATCTTCCAATGCAAGGTAAGAGGCTGCATGATCTTTTTACAAAACATTTCAGAATGTAAAGAATAAACAGTTTATACCCAACTTAATAAAACACTGTAAATGTAATTGAAGCTCCTGTGCACCATCTTATTCCCCCAGTTAATTTCTGCCCTGATAATGGCCCATGCTTTTTTTTAGATTCTTTTACCATGTTGTGTTCATAAATTGATAGACTGGTTGAGCATCCCAAATCCGAAACTTCCTGAAGGCAAGAGTGATGCTCAAAGGAAACATTCATTGGAGCATTCTGAATGTGGATTAGGGATGCTCTACCAGTAAGTATTTGCAAATATTTCAAAACTTGGAAAAAAAAATGGAGATCTGCAACACTGTTCGCAAGCATTTTGGGTGAGGGACACTCACCCTGTGGTATTGTTACATATTCTATGTGTCGTCCTGCAATTTTTCTCTCAATACCGTATGACTCACCCATCTTCACACACAGAACCTCCAGTGGATTGATTTTAGTAGCTATAGAGATGGCGTTAGCATTCCTGCTGAGGGGCAGGTAGGTTTCATGCTAATGAGGAGGGCTGCAGAGCCTGTCTTGATCCTGTGGCTTCTCTAGGATCCACGTGAAGAGGAAGATGCCGGGCTGGGCCGTGTCAGCTGGAGGTTTTCCCTTTGCTCTGGTACCATGGTCGTACCAGTTTTTTACTGTCAGCAGAGTTTGCTCTTCATACTTGCAAACACTTGATCTGGCCAGACTTTAAAATTTTGGCCAGTTGATGTAAAATGATGGTTCATTCCGTGAGCTGGTAAGGCCCTGTGAGCATTTCTTACATTTAGTCAGCATTCGAGGTTCCCCTTTTGTGAACTGCCTGTTCCTTTGTCCATTTAAAATTTTGGATGTGTGTGTGTGTTTTCTCCTTATAAAGTTAATTATTCTGCATACTAATCCTTTGTCAGTTACAAGGACTGCTAATTTCTCCCAATCTGGGTTCAGTTTTTCAGTTTGTGTTTTTTAATGTTTTTCCTTGTAATGTTGACTTTACCAGTCTTTTAAAACAGGTTTTGGTTTTCATGACTTTAATTCTTCTCAATCCTCAGGCCGTAAGTACACCGTTTTCTTCTGTGCGTTTTTGCATTCACATCTGAGTTTTTAATCTGGAATTTTAAAAAATTATTTTCGTGAAATAAATTTAGAAAAGATATATGCAACTTGACAATTACAAAGCATATACTTGGATTACCACCACCTGCTTAAAGACAGAGATCAGTGGCAGCCCAGAACTGCCCTCCATGGAGTCCATGGCTTTTCTTTATGGCATACTCATTTTCTCATGCTCTGCTTCATTGCGCCCTCAGATACTGTGGTTTTTTTACAAACGGAAGATTTGTAGCAACTCTGCACTGAGCAAGTCTGTTGGTGCCATTTTCCAATGGCATGTGCTCACTTTGGTAGTATACATTAGCAGTCCCCAGCCTTTTTGGCATCAGGGACCAATTTCGTGGAAGATAATTTTTGCAGGGACTGGGGGAAGGGGGATGGTTTTGGGATGATTTAGCACATTAAATTTATTGTGCACTTTAATTCTAATATTATTACATTGTAACATATAATGAAATAATTATATGACTCACTATAACGTAGAATCAGGGGGAGCCCTGAGCCTGTTTTCCGCAATTAGATGGTCCCATCTGGGGGTGATGGGAGACAGTGACAGATCATCAGGCATTAGATTCTCACAAGGAGTGCGCAACCTGGATCCCGGGCACATGCAGTTCACAATAGGGCTCTTGCTCCTGCGAGAATCTAATGCCGCTGCTGATCTGACAGGAGGCGGCGCTCCGGTGGTGATGCGAGTGATGGGGCGCTGCTGTAAATACAGGTGAAGCTTTGCTGGCTCGCCCACCCGCTGCTCGTCTCCTGCTGTGTGGCCCAGTTCCTACAGGCCACAGACCAGTATATGGCGGGGCTTGGGGCCCCCTGGTGTAAGTGGTGTATTTATAACCTACATACATTGCAAATCAGTATCTTCTCCTGGTTCATGGCTTGTCTTTTTGCTCTTTATAGTGTCTTTTGATGAACCTAAATTCTTAAAGTAGTTCACTTTCAGCTTTTCCCTTTGGGCCGTGCTTCTTAGTTCTTTCCCTCTCAGGGTCATAAACATCCCTCCCCTAGTACCTACCCAGCTATTCCAGCTATTCCAGCACTGTATACCCTCTAGCTTCCTCTGTCCCCACTTTCCAGGGTGGGTTCACACAGTCCTCTGGACAGTGTGCTTGCACCTGGAGCCTGTCCATGGCCCCGATCACCTCTCCTTATCCTGCCCAGCTGGTAGATACTTTGGGGGTTCAAGTTAAAGTTAGTTCATAATCAGCCTGAGAAGAATTAAACTTGATATATAGTGGCTTTGCAGCCTGGTTCTGCCTTTTATTAGTTGACAACCTTGGCAGGTTATTTAACCACTTAGCCTTGGTTTTCTTGCCTATAAAATGGGAATATTATTCTAGTCTTTTCTGTAGAGGTGGTTATGAGAAATGATGTCACACAGCTTTAGTCATACTTAACTTTGCACACATAACCTCTGGGGGTGAAGCTTGACATTCTTGTGTCATCCCAAACAGAGCACTCCTGCTCTCCCCCAGAGCCTTGCCTGCCATCTGCCCCTTGGCTCAAGCCCAAACGCCTGTGTACTCCGAGTACCTTTTCTGTTATCCTTCACCATCGACTCCCAGCAGTCCCTAGACTGATCCTTCGGATGTTATTTTCTGGATCTGTTAGTTACACTGAATCATGAAATTGCTGATGTGTGGCAGTTTGGGACCTATAAATCAGTCATTTCCCGTGGTGTAATGGAACCATTCCTGTCTCACAGGCACAGCACAGCCGCCTCACACGCCTGGCAGCTTGTTGGCTGACCGCCTGCCTCCGCTGTCCTCCTTCAGGCCGTTCTCCTGTAACCTCCAGCTCCGTTACACTTTTCACATGTAGCTCAGATTCTGGCACTTGCTCGAGACCCTTCCCAGTTGAGTGTTTACAATATGAATTGGCACAGGATGAAAATACTGGCACTTCAGTGTATTTTGAGATTCACCTCACTTTGTTGTTGGTGGAGGTGTGTTTATTTTGTAGTGTATGTGTTGATGGTACAGTATGTGATGGGTGTGCTGGTCACATTATAAAAAGTGTACACCACAGCCACAGGGGCATTGATGTTTTAACTAAATACCCCGTTATCTGGTGAAGCCAAATTCCACAGGTGTTAGATGCCTTTTATCTGCACCTTACACCTTGTGATTGTCTCTGAAATACATTTGGGTCTGTCTGTCGGGCCGTTTGATCACCTGTCTCTTCCCCAGGATTGTAAACTCTGAGAACAGATATTGTCTTCTTGGACATCTAGGACTTGAGTGCCTGTGTCAGAGAACTACACATTAGTAAAGAAAAACATTAAGACATCCTTAACTAACGGATAAAGGACAGTAGTTCACAGGATATGAACTAAGGAAATGTTTGATCATACTAGTAAAATTTTCAATTAACTGTTAAATCTAACTCTGACAATTTTATTCTAATAGGCAATCCACCTCGAAGATCCAAGTCTGCACCTCCTCGTGATTTAGGCAATTCGGATGAGGGACAAGTAAATCTCTGTTTTTATATATTCAAACATACATTACTCAGGCTTGAAATCAATTTGTGAATAGACTTAAGTTTCTAAGCCACATGTAAAAGAGAGTTTTTACTTAACATTATAAATGTTACATTTTGTAAACACTAGTATCAGCATCTGGCTTCGGAAGTAAGAGGAGGTTTTAGCTGCTAAAATGTCTTGTGCTTACAGGCTGCCTCTCCCAGGGAGCCACTTGAACCACTGACCTTCCCAGATCCTGAATATAAAGAGGAAGAGGAAGACCACAACATACAGGGAGAAATTAGTCATCCTGATGGAAAGGTTAAAATTTTTTTTGAAATAATGAATTCTAAAAAACATTGGTTAAAACAGTTGAAACACATAGAATCTAAAATAAGGGCTCTTTGGATAACTTGCCTTTAGATGCCATTTCTCATTCAGAGATTCAGCAGAAGAAGGCATACAATCTCTAGGATTTTTGTTCTTACTCCAAAGCCTTTGTAATCCTTGGCACTTCTTAAAAGCTTCATTCTAGGTCTTCCTTTCTTGCAGCCTTTCTTATGCTGATCCTGAGTCAGGGGCCTCTCTCCCCGTCTCCAGCCAACAGAGTTTTATTCTTATGCTTAGGAAAGTTTCTTAGTGGGAAAACTGCCTGGGGGTTCCAGCTAAAGGGAATGAGGAGGAAAGGGATATATACAGGTTAGAGGTGATGAGGGAATTGTTCCCTCAGGTTTATGGAAAATTTATTTTTCAAATACCCTAAACTGGTCCATTTCTATTGAAATTATAGGGATAGAGTTCACTGCTATCCTTGAGGAGTGACAGAAGGACAAACGGCAACAGTCAAAAGTAGTAGTTAGACTTTCCTGTACGTCTACTTTAGGGTAACAAATCATTGATAAGGGAAGGTTTTCTTTTTTAGATGAATTCCAGCTAATACATGGAAAAGGAATGAGAAAATTAGAAAATCACGAGTTTGCTACTTCTGACGAAATAAAGGATCTTTTGAGGGAATGTTTTACATTTTATTACAAAAAAATTCAAAGTAGGCAGTTGGGAGGAGAATTAGGCATATCTTGGTCAGGAGAAAATCTTCCTTAGGTGACAATCTTGTGTTGTTTTAGGTGGAAAAGGTTTATAAGAATGGGTGTCGTGTTATACTGTTTCCCAATGGAACTCGGAAGGAAGTGAGTGCAGATGGGAAGACCATCACCGTCACTTTCTTTAATGGTGACGTGAAGCAGGTCATGCCAGACCAGAGAGTGGTATGTGTCCAGAGGCGTTCTCCTCCATAGCTTAACCATCTCGGGAGAAAAGGCAGACTGACTGTGTGTCTTTACAGATCTACTACTACGCAGCTGCCCAGACCACTCACACGACGTACCCGGAGGGACTGGAAGTCTTACATTTCTCAAGTGGACAAATAGGTACAAACTTGTTTCACCCTCTCATTAAATTCTTTCCCTCCTTCAAAAAATATTTATTGTAACTTTTTAAACAGAAAAACATTTCCCAGATGGAAGAAAAGAAATCACGTTTCCTGACCAGACTGTTAAAAACTTATTTCCTGATGGACAAGAAGAAAGCATTTTTCCAGACGGTACAATTGTCAGAGTACGACGGTATGACACCATTATGTTCACAGAAAAACCACTCAGTGTGACAGCTCTTCACTGTGCTCAGAAGGTGCCCCAGCCTTGCATTTCTGATGACACACGACATCGTATTAGGGGGTTCAGTTTGAATGAATGTCCCATAGGCATGTCAAGCAGTCAACTTGATGTGAATTATTTTTCACATTCTGCTTTTTCATTCCATTCTTTCAAAACAGATTTTAAGTTTGATCATGCCCCTTCCCAGGAATGGCTCTCTTCCCCACCTGATACAGAGCAAGCACTCAGATGGTTTTAAAATGTGTGAAAGAAGGGCCCATTTTAATATAACAACCAAGAGGAAGAACACAAGTTTAAAAAAATCCCTAAGCATTTTGTGGTGAAAATATAAATGATTAAAACAAGCTTTTAATAGGTACATGTAAATGCTGATCTGATAATTGGAACTATCACCATGAAGCAGAACCACTGAAGAAAATTACAATTGTATAGGGGAAAGAACCAAGGGATGTCTCCAGAAGTAGCTGCCAGAATCAAAAGGCTACTTTTCAATAGTTTTCCTGTTGCCTATTTTCTATTTTTTTAAAGAAATTCTATTTTAAATTTTACAGTGATGGCAACAAACTCATAGAGTTTAATAATGGCCAAAGAGAACTACATACTGCCCAGTTCAAGAGACGGGAATACCCAGATGGCACTGTTAAAACCGTATATGCAAACGGTCATCAAGAAACGAAGTACAGATCTGGTCGGATAAGAGTTAAGGACAAGGAGGGTAATGTGCTAATGGACACGGAGCTGTGACGATCCCTGTGTGATCATGAAGTAACAGTAACTGATTTTTCTTGTTAAAAAATGTACATTTATTGTGGATTCTGTTTAATTTATTGTGTATGTGTGGGGAAAAGATTGGATTCTAAAATAAATGTTTATCCTGTGGCATCTTCATTTTTATATTCTTTGAAATGCAATGATAGCTCATTTATAATTCACCTACCCTGCCTTTCAACAGAGTAAGGAAAGCATTTTTACTCTTTAGAAACTCTGTACAGGTTTTTACAATAAGTGGGTGTGTTTATTGGTTAGAAATGGCTATAAAAACCAAGAAGTACAGGAAGTACATTACATAGATGTCCCACAGGCACATCAGCCATCGAGCACTGGACTTGCACAGAAAGTGTACTCAAGGAGTAAACACGTCTCTGTAGCCAAAATATTACTATGTTCAGTTAGTACCAAAATTAAAGCAGTTGATCTACTACAGAGGTTCATTAATTATAATAGAATGGGGAGTTACAACAGTGGATGAAAATAAATAGGTCACACACAACAAGTAGTAATCATAGTAAGGAGAAAACAGTTATAACAAGGCAGACACTGTAATGTCTCAAAATGGGACACCTGAGAGGAGAGGGGGCATGAACGATGAGTAGCCGGTGTTAACCCATGGACCACCACCACCTTCATGTTATCACAGTGAGATTACTGTAGCCTCATGGAGGCAAGATGTCCCTGAAGGATGGGCAAGTCACCTACTTGTAAATTTATATAATAATTCCAGATTGGTCTAGATAGACCTTACCTGTCACATACACCATGAATCAGGTTTTGTTAATGAAATCTATCAATTCCAGGTGACAACAATATGAAAAATAAAACTTTTCAAAGAAAGTACATATATATCTCAGAAGAGGTAAGGATTTT